TCAACATACTAATTTTGATGGAATTTTTAAATGAAATATTTCTGTTTTCATTACTGGGTCTCTGTGCTGTCTCTGATGTCATCACTGTATATGGGCTGTATATAGCTTCCTAAAAACATCACTGCACCATGCCTTGGTACTCCTCTCAAGAGCCCTCAGCCTTGATACAAGCAGTAGGCTGATGGTGGGTGAATGTAAGGACACTGTAAAAACCATTGCTGTCTATGTGCCTCTTTCATGTGCATGAAAAAAACGTGCATTACCAAACTGGGGAAGTGCAAACCCAGCCTTAATCCATGAAGTCCAGGAAGGTTCCTGTAGTTCAGCCCCAGGGTCTGATTGGTCATAGATTATAAGATATCTTCCTGCGCCTAGTGAGACACTCTACTACAGGTACTATCCTGCTGCTGTGCAATGTGAACAACACAAATATATGAAAAAAAATAAAATAACAGCGCAAAACATAGACCTCTACATAAAATCAAAAAAGTGCAAAAAAAAAAAAAAAAAAATTTTTTGTAAAACAAAAATACAATTTAAATGGTGCAGTCCATCAAATTCTTATATAAATAGTGAAATCCATCAAAATAAACTCAAAAAGTTCAAAAATATTCAAAAATATATGTGCAAAAAAAGAAAAAAAAAAAAGGAAAGAAATCTTTTCACATTCTTCTTGTAAAGAAACTTCCACCTTCCACCCGTGAAAACCAATATCAAATGCACTCACCAGATATAGGTGAATAAAACGCCTTTTAGGAATTTTATGGGATCCTACACCCTCTTTCGTATCCACTCTATAGGAATCCTCTCCTCCAACATGGGCTCCACCATCCGACCAGGGAGAAAAAAATCTCAAATAGTGTGATATTGTAAGACACCATTTCATATGTGAAATCAAGGATTAAGGCCACTCACATTAATTTCACTTTAAAAAGGCATATTTATTAAGGCAAGCTTCTCTCCAGATGAACAGTAGATGCAAGGTAACCTCTCACAGAATCTCACATCACAGTCCCAGGGGAACCTGGGACTGTGATGTGAGATTCTGTGAGAGGTTACCTTGCATCTACTGTTCATCTGGAGAGAAGCTTGCCTTAATAAATATGCCTTTTTAAAGTGAAATTAATGTGAGTGGCCTTAATCCTTGATTTCACATATGAAATGGTGTCTTACAATATCACACTATTTGAGATTTTTTTCTCCCTGGTCGGATGGTGGAGCCCATGTTGGAGGAGAGGATTCCTATAGAGTGGATACGAAAGAGGGTGTAGGATCCCATAAAATTCCTAAAAGGCGTTTTATTCACCTATATCTGGTGAGTGCATTTGATATTGGTTTTCACGGGTGGAAGGTGGAAGTTTCTTTACAAGAAGAATGTGAAAAGATTTCTTTCTTTTTTTTTTTTCTTTTTGTGCACATATATTTTTGAATATTTTTGAACTTTAGTTTATTTTGATGGATTTCACTATTTATATAAGAATTTGATGGACTGCACCATTTAAATTGTATTTTGTTTTACAAAAAATTTTTTTTTTTTTTTTTTTTTTTTGCACTTTTTTGATTTTATGTAGAGGTCTATGTTTTGCGCTGTTATTTTATTTTTTCATATGATTGGTCATAGACTCTATTCAACTAGTCTAATCATTAGTGGTGTAAAATTAACATTAGTTTTGTACGCTGTGACGGGAAAATTCAAAGGAGCAGGATGAAAAATGTTTCCCGAATGAACAAATTTCTAACATTGAATGCTATTTTTGTTTGGGAAAGTCCATTCACTCCAAAATCCAATATTAAAAGAAGATGATTTTTAAGTACCTTTGAACAACATTCATCAAGTTATCAAATGTGCTGATGAGACTTTTCGTATGAATTTCTATATGAGCATTGATTGTGAAATCTACTAAAATGCTAGATTTTTTTATTAAAATAACAAACATGTCATACATACTTGCTCTGTGTAATGGATTTGCACAGAGCAGCTCCGATCTTCCTCTTTTTGGGTCCTCCACAATTGATCTTAACTCCTTCCCTTTGCCTAGAGTCCACCATCGATCTTGGCTCCTTCCCTCTGCTGAGAGTCCACCATAGCAAGTCACTTGCTATGAGGACACTTGTGAATGCTCAATAATGAGCCGTGTTCTGTGTGTCCATATGATACACAGAGCGTGGTATGGCGTGGCCCTGCCCCCCAATCACTGCTCACTGGCAATGATTGACAACAGCAGGAGCTAATGGCTTCTGCTGCTGTATCTGAGCCAGGGAGAGAGCCCCTATTTTCGTGCACATTGCTGGATCGAGATCAAGCTCAGGTAAGTATTTAGGGTGGGCTAGGGGAAGAGCTGCATGCAGAAGGGTTTTTTACTTTAATGTAGAGAATGCATTAAGGTAACAAAAACCTTCTGCCTTTACAACAACCACTTTAGGATTCTTTTGAGATCTCTGGCATATTGATTTTGATGATGAATAAATTGCAGAAAGATTCTTCGTACAGTGTCACAATTTGTGTGGTTTGATTCAATAAGGTATTTCATCATTTTGCATATTTGGCTCTGGAGGGGAGAAGAGAACCCTCTTCCCTCTAGGCAGTAAGCGAAGCGAGTGTTAATTAGTGCCACACATAGGCTGACAAGGTGTCCCGTGTCGAACAGGATGGATGAAGAGATTGTGTGTTCCAGGATTGTTATTCTGAAGTTCTCTACAGGGAGGAAGTTTGGGCAGAATCCAAGACAAAGGAGGGAGATCCGAGTCTTATTCTTTGATGTGTATGCCACGCAGGCAGCTGTCTAGGGTCAGAGAGATGAAGGGGTGCGGAAATTGGATTGTAATAATTGCACTCGTTGCTTTCTTCTCTATTGAGTCCATGGTCGACCTGTGCTTTGAATGTTTCTGTTTAATCATTAAAAAAAAAACAGATGACTTCTTTAATGCTGAACTAAAAAGCTAAATACACAGAAGAAATACATATATAAGAGCTTTTCCCTGCAAAAGGAAATGTATTTCTGTTAATCCAGTCCTAGCTCTGGTACTCAGCTCTGCCACACAGCACAGACCCGTCTCATAGGTTTGAATCCTAACCATGGCACTACCTGCGTAGAGTTTGCATGTCCTCCCTGTGCCTGCGTGGGTTTCCTCCGTGTACTTCGGCTTCATCACTCCAAAGACATGCTGGTAGGTTAATTGGCTCCTGTCTAAATTGGCCCTAGTATGTGTATGTATGAATGTGAGTTAGGGACTTTAGGTTGTCAGCTCCTTGAGGGTAAGGAACTGATGTGAATGTACAATATACAGGTGAAACTCAAAAAATTAGAATATTGTGCAAAAGTTTATTTATTTCAGTAATGCAACTTAAAAGGTGAAACTAATATATGAGAGACTCATTACATGCAAAGCAAGATAGTTCAAGCCGTGATCTGTCTTAATTGTTATGATTACGGTTTACAGCTCATGAAAACCCCAAATCCACAATCTCAGAAAATTAGAATATTGTGAAAAGGTGCAATATTCTCAGCTCAAAGTGTCCCACTCTAATCAGCTAATTAAGCCATAACACCTGCAAAGGGTTCCTGAGCCTTTAAATGGTCTCTCAGTCTGGTTCAGTAGGAATCGCAATCATGGGAAAGACTGCTGACCTGACAGTTGTGCAGAAAACCATCATTGACACCCTCCATAAGGAGGGAAAGTCTCAAATGGTAATTGCAAAAGAAATTGGATGTTCCCAAAGTGCTGTATTAAAGTACATTAATAGAAAGTTATGTGGAAGGGAAACGTGTGGAAGAAAAATGTGCACAAGCAGCAGGGATAACCACAGCCTGGAGAGGATTGTCAGGAAAAGGCCATCCAAAAGTGTTGGGGACTTTCACAAGGAGTGGACTGAGGCTGGAGTCAGTGCATCAAGAGCCACCACACACAGACGGATCCTGGACATGGGCTTCAAATGTCATATTCCTCTTGTCAAGCCGCTCCTGAATAACAAACAATGTCAGAAGCGTCTTACCTGGGCTAAAGAAAAACAGACCTGGTCTGTTGCTCAGTGGTTCAAAGTCCTCTTTTCTGATGAGAGCAACTTTTGCATCTCATTTGGAAACCAAGGACCCAGAGTATGGAGGAAGAATGGTGAGGCACACACTGCAAGATGCTTGAAGTCCCAGCGTGAAGTTTCCACAGTCTGTGTTGATTTGTGGAGCCATGTCATCTGCTGGTGTTGGTCCACTGTGCTTCATTAAGTCCAGGGTCAACGCAGCCATCTACCAGGAGATTTTGGAGCACTTCATGCTTCCTTCCACAGATGAGCTTTATGGGGATGCTGACTTCATTTTCCAGCAGGACTTGGCACCTGCCCACACTGCCAAAAGCACCAAAACCTGGTTCAATGACCGTGGGATTACTGTGCTTGATTGGCAAGCAAACTCGCCTGACCTGAACCCCTCAGAGAATCTATGGGGCATTGCCAAGAGAAAGATGAGAGACATGAGACCGAACAATGCAGAAGAGCTGAAGGCCACTATTGAAGCATCCTGGTCTTCCATAACACCTCAGCAGTGCCACGGGCTGATAGCTTCTATGCCATGCCGCATTGAGGCAGTAATTGCTGCAAAAGGGGCCCAAACCAAGTACTGAAACATATGCATGCTTATACTTTTTAGAGGTCTGATATTGTTCTATGTACAATCCTTGTTTTATTGATTGCATGTAATATTCTAATTTTCTGAGATTGTGGATTTGGGGTTTTCATGAGCTGTAAGCCATAATCATCACAATTATGACAAATCATGGCTTGAACTATCTTGCTTTGCATGTAATGAGTCTATCTCAAATATTAGTTTCACCTTTAAGTTGCATTACTGAAATTATATGAACTTTTGCACCATATTCTAATTTTTTGAGCTTCACCTGTATATGTAAAGCGCTGCGTAAATTAATGATGCTATCTAAGTACCTGTAATAAATAAATAAAAACTGCATGATAAAGTATATAGCACACAGTCTTTGCTAACTTTTTTCTGTTGTCTTCGTAGCCATCGGAGTTCAGATGAAGCTGTCTCTACTGCGGAATATTTTCTGGAAGGTGACACGACAGGTCAGTGAAAAGGACACTGTGTATTCATTTGGCCTTTTGCTTCTTTGGTTTTCCAACATGTGCCTGAAATTTACAGTAAAAATATATAAATTGGGGTTCATTGAAATGAGGGATCAACATTTGTTTTGTGCAGGATTCCAATAAGTGTGCATGGCACCATGTTTTATGATAACAGGAATTATGGAAAAGAAAGTAGAGGGAGCCATGATGGTTCATTAGCTTTTGCATTGTATGGCCCAAACTATGTTGACATCCTTTAATTGACTGGATTCAGGAGTTTCCAGTGAAGGGTTCTATTAAAGCTACAGCATACAAAGACATTTTAGACAATTGTGCTCTTCCAATCCAAAATGGAAAGCCATTTTCTGTTCCAGCATGATTGTGCCCGTGTTAAAAGCCAGCTTCATAAAGACATGATGCGACCAGATTGGTGTGGAGGACCTCAAGTGGTCTGCACAGGGCTCTGACCTCAACCCTACAGACCACCCTTGTAATGAATTGTAACATGCCACTGACAAACCAGGTCTTTTTGTGCCTTACCTCACAAATCCTCTTTTGGTTGAATGGGCCTAATTCCCACAGATACACTCCCATATCTTGTGGAAAGCCTTCTTAGAAGAGTGGAGGCTGTTCTTGCCTCAAAAAGGATGGTGGGGCAAATCTAAATGAATGTCCATGAATGTTTGGCCATATGGTATATGTGAAGTGATGGTTCATATGGGCCAGAGGCATCCCCTGGGAATTTCAGTATTGGCTCCATATGCCCGTCTCTGATGTACTTCTCTCCCCTTCCTTCAGTTTGTAACCCTCCTACATGTAGAATACAACGTTCTTCAATTTTCTTCTTTTCATCAACAGCATATCTCTAACTTTCTCCTTTATCTTTTGTGTGGTGCCCGGTAACCTCTCTCCTCAGCCTAATGACACTGATGTAAGTTTGAAATTCTTCTTTCTCTTCATGGCTTTTCCAATGTATTCTTACATGCATATTCTTGAAAAAAAAACTTGTAATATAACTTGTAAATGTTGTAATATTTTTATTTCAAAGCTCAAAAATTCTATCTAAAGTCAGTTTGTTTTACATTTTGGATGGAGTGTGGTAGGGTTTGAACCTCAGTCCAGTTTTTGTGCTCTCAGTGTCCCCACTGGGTAGATTCACTTTCTCTATTTGTCCTGGTGACAACTGCGCATGGACTAAAAGTGAGAAAAATGTGGAATTTTTACCAACACAGGAAGAATAGAAATCTTTTAGTGGGGACACTGGTGACCATCTAAGTGAGGATTCCCCTTATTTGAAGAGGATTTCCCTTTGACGAAATCTCCTCTCACTTCCTGTTGTGTTTCTGGGACAGGAAGTGCAGGAAAATCTTCCCAGTAGGATAAAGGTGGCAGATGGCAAAATAAGAACTTGTTAAGACATTAAGCAATTACCTACTCTATTCAAAAATTAAAACAAAAACTGTTGGCTTTAGTTTTTTAATTTCTTAGCCTCCAGCTTTATTCAACTGCTGCAGCCATTTCAAAGGATCTCATTTGAAGTCTCATTTTTGTGGGGAATGCAGCAGGATAAGTGATACTCCACTGCCTTCAGTGGGGTAGAGCTGGGAATGCATGTAAGGACATCTGACTGAGAGAGAGGCCCCAATGAATGCAGGTATGGCTATAGACAGGCAAGGGGTAGATACCTGATGATCCTTGTCCCGTACATGGGAGAGCGAAATAATAAGAAATTTAAAGCTAGTACACCAGTAAAAGTTTGTTAGAAGTCAATCACTTAAAGAACGTTCAATTTTCCATTTATTAATGAGGTCAAATTGACGTTCATTTTCTACAGCAGTGACAAGAAAACTCAGTGGAGTTAGATTAAAATTTCTCTCAAATGAACACATTTTTCAAACTTAAATCTCGTTTTTATTCGGGGAAGTCCATTCTTTCCAAAAATTGAATGTTCAAAGCAAACATTTTTTAATACTTTCAAACATTATTATTCAATTTATCAAATGCGCTGAGAATTATCGTATGAATGTACAAACATTTCTTAAAATATCTACTAGTGTATGGGCAGCTTAACAACCTCTGCTCACAGGAAGGTTTTGAAAGTTTATTTACGTTAAGAGAAGAGTTCCGTTATTTACTAAGAGAAGCGTTCCGTTATTTACTAAGAGAAGCGTTCCTAAAAGTAGAGATTGACAAGCACAGAGTTCTTTACATATGGCATATGTACCAGGATCTGACCGCTTGATCAAACAGGAGGCTTTTGAGCTGCAGTCTTGGCCATTTGCCATGTAGGACCCTCCCAAACATAAATATGTTTAAATCATTAATTTAAGGAGCACACAAGCAGCACATATTTACAAGAGATGTTAATATCTGTTATCTTGGAACACATATCAGCTTAACCAACCTTCAGACTCCCAAATGCATAACTGTAGAAAAAGAAGATGAGAAAATTCACTCAGTGGGTGAAGCCACCTCAGCCACTTTCCACCCAACATCCTTTGATTTAACAATCAAAGGAGCCAGGTGGGAAATTGTCAGCCAAAAGCAGATGCATTTAGTCTGATGCAGCCTCTGCTTGGGTACTATGTCAACTGGCAGGATCGGCTGTCAAAATACAATACCTGCACCTGGAGATTCATCTATCCAAGCTGCATAGTGTGTAAGGAGGAATTTGTTACATTTTTTTACTTAGCCCTCAGCCTGAGCCAAAAAAATCTATAAGTGTATGGCCACCCCAACTGTCTCTATATTCCACAACAACCATTCCAAGTATACAGAAGTCATTCTAGCAAAACAGTCATTCTAGAAAACTAGTCTGTTATTATATAAAGAACCTAAGTGGACAGCTTGATAGTCTGAACTTGACTTGGAGCATCGAAAATCACTGTCCAACCAATTATGAAGTATTATAAAATTGGAATATGAATATACTGTACGTATTGGTAGGGATGAACAACATTGGCAATTTTCAGTTTGGCAGAATTTAAGCAAAGTGTCCTAAAGGTCAATAGGGAAAATTAAAGTGGGCTATCCATATCACACCCCCCTCTATGTAAAATTAACAAAGCCATATCAAGCCCCGGCGCTATAAGTTGTACCTTTTATTTACAAGTGATCAACAGGCGAGGATCTGCTGATTATGTGGCTTTTGTTTGTAAGAAAAAAAAGAAGCCATGACACACCGCAATGTGGGCTTTAGGGTTAACAGCTGCCCTCGCTGTTAGCTTTAAAAGTGAACATTTTGTATGCTGATTTAGCTGCATGGCTGAATTCAATTCCATTTTTGTACAAAATTTAGCTTTTTAAAAAAGTAAAAAAGATTTCTATTTTCGCCACAAAAGCTTTCTTAAATCAGCTAGTCATTCTTACAAGTTCATAATTGCTATTTATTCTTGATTGAGAAAAAATGGTAAAAAAATAAAAGTCAAATGATTTCTGCTTATTACAAGGTCACCAAAGGAACAGATGTTTGTAGCCAGGACAGGATATTATATGTGACAGTTTAATGTAATAATTATATATTTTCTGTGTATGAAATACTTGACCAAGTTCTCGGTCTTCTCTGCAGTGTAGCGATGTGGACGGGATGTGTCCAATGAGCTGTGAGGATGAGGTAATGTGATAAGTGACATTATACAATCACAGATCATTAAACATGTACACTACAAGGACCACATTAATATTAAAGTGTTTGGGAAACCATATATTTATAGAAACCTGGAAACGGGTTCTAAAATGTAGTTAATGGAGTCCAGCATTAGGTGTTAGAATGCATCCCAATGAATTTGTTGTCGGCAATGTGTAGTGATACATAAATCTAAGGGGGAGCAACACATATGTAGTTGAACATCCAGTTTATTTTATTAACCATAATATTACTGCAGCTAGACAATGCATTTCGGGAACTTCACCAATCCCCTTCATCAGGGTTTACAGTATAGAGATAAAGGGAGGTTTAAACGTTCACCAGAGCTGGTTATCCTAAAAAAGACTGTTGTTGCTCTGCATAGGTTTTTAACAGGATAGCATACTGAATGATCTTTGGCATGGGAACAAAAATCAGCCTTCAAGATAACCATTTTGGTCAAGCTTTGTAACCTTTATGTATTTCTACAAGCCCTGATGAAGGGGGATAAGTAAATTCCCAGAAATGTGTTGGCTACTTACTGTTACCATTGTAATTATGAAATTAGCTGGACTTTTAGCTAGTGTTTTTGTCTTCTTTGCACTTTGCATATTGCTAACATCCCGATGACCCATCTGGAGCTCATCGGTCTCTACAGAGCTGCCTCTGTTATTACATTGGAGACATCTATATGAGATTTGGCGCTCTACCAATACTTTATCTAATTAATTTATTGTTAGAAAGTGATTTTATAGTGGAACTAAATGTAAGTAATAAAAAACTACTACTAGAAATCATGCAATGTTTCTTCTGCGATAAGAAATACATACCTGCCTCCTTCCAGTCTTCTATTGAATGCACACTACACTGCGCATGCGCAGCTCAGCATGCAGTCCTGGCACACTCCATCTGTGTGAAGAATGATGGACTCCCATGTGAATGCACAGAATGATGTCATTTCACCACCGGCCAATCAAAAGGGCTTAAAACCTGACACCGGATATAGCCAGGGAGAAGACAGCGGCTGGCGAGGGATTAAAAAAACACATTGCTGGAATGAGGAGATATTTGTTCAGTTTAGTTCCACTTCAATCTGGCCAAACACTTTACAGATTGTATCTCCTTTAGATTTACCAACAGCTGTGTAGTGCTATGACCTGCCTGACTGGATACAAATTGAAGGAGTTATTTTGGTGGGCCCCATTACATAGTTTTAATAATGCTGAAGATTGTATGGTCAGGTTTTAATGTATGTGGTCAATTTAAATGAAGCAATACAGAGCCAGGGTTATATGTGGTCAAGTCTTATTGATTGATAGAAAACATAGTTACATTGTAGCCAACTGTATCAGGCGGTGTTATGGAGGTGTTAGTTACTGGGCAGCACAGTGGCTAAATGGTTAGCACTTGCGCCTGGCAGTACTAGGGTCGTTGGTTTGAATCCCAACCACAGAACCACCTGCCTGGAGTTTGCATGTTCTCCCCGTGCCTGCGTGGGTTTCCTCCCACACTCCAAAGACATGCTGGTAGGTTAATTGGCTCCTGTCTAAATTGACCCTAGTATGTGTATGTATGAATGTAAGTTAGGGACTTAGATTGTACACCCCTTGAGCATCAGGGACTGATATGAATGTACAATATATATGTAAAGCGCTGCATAAAAATTGACAGCGCTATATAAGTACCTGCAATAAATAAATAAAATACTAGAAGGGGAGGCATTAGCCTGATTATCCTGTAGGCTCTTGTTGGTGTTATGGTGACAGTGGCCATGGTGAGAGCTGAGGCTATGAATGAAGTCTTTGTTGTGTGAATCAGAAATAAATGCAATCAATACAGGACGGTTGTGATCAGTTGCCAATCTTCTGCTGAATTGCCAGTATTTAACCACTTCCATGCCGGCCTATAGCAGAAATACTGCTACAGGGCGGTACAGGTGCACAAAATCATGTGTATATATACGTGATTTTGCATTTCCTGGTAGGGGGCGCGTGCGAGCCACACCGCCATTTGCGGCCGCAGCTGTCAATCATTGGGTCCCGTCTGGCGATTACTCGCCGGCACCCGGTGATTGATGGGGAGGAGAACTGTTTTGTTTACTAACAGTTCTCCTCCCTGTCAGCTCGGGCACACTGCTCTGAATGGCTGTGCACAGTGAAGCACACTGACACGGCCCCCTATATAAAACACTCCCAGCACACAGTTAACCTTTTGATCGCCCCTCATGTTAACCCCTTCCTGCCCAGTGCCATTAGTACAGTGTCAGTACTTTTTATTAGCGCTGATCACTGTATTGGTGTCACTGGAGATGTCATTGACACCAAGTCAGTTCCCCTCAGTGTCAGAATGTCCGTCACGGTCCCGCTATAAGTCACTGATCACCGCCATTACTAGTAAAAATGAAAAAAATTCCAGTATTTATACCACCATTTGTAAACTCTAAAACTTTCATGCAAGCCAATTAATTTACACGTATTGGGATTTTTTTTTATCAAAGACATGTAGCAGAATACATTTTGGCCTAAATTTATGACGAAATTAGATTTTTTAAATTTTTTTACTAGATGTGTTTAATAGCAAAAAGTCAAAAATATTGTTTTTTTGGTCTTTTTTTATAGCGCAATAAATAAAAAACGCACAGGCAATCAACTACCACAGAAAGAAAGCTCAATTTGTGGGAAAAAAGGACGTAATCTCATTTGGGTGCAGTATTGCACGACTGCACAATTGTCAATGCAAAAAATGTAACGCAACGTAACGCAAAAAAAAAGGCCTGGTCAGGAAGGGGGGTAAATTGTCAAAAGGGCAAGTGGTTAAAGAGACCCTGTCTCCAGATCATTCATTCCAACAAAAGAAATCCTGTAAGATGCATGTGCATTTAATGTATTTTATACACGTTATTTATCTGTAAAAGCCTCCCTTCTGTAGACATCAAAAAGCCCCGATACTGCTCCTGGGCTCCACCACCTTGGATGTGATGTTAGCAGCTCCAGCAGACTGTCACATAACAGACCCTTTATAGCAGCCTTTCTCAACGTTTTCACAAAGGAACCCTTGAACTAACTTTCCGGTCTCAGGAAACCCCTGCTAAAAATTACTATATCTGCATCTCAAGATGCATTAGTGTGATGGTCAGTGGGAAGAATGCTCCTTACACTTGTGGTCATTGAGAAAAATTGCGCCCTTACAGATAGCTAAAAATATCAATGATGCCAGTATGAACTTATCTGAGAGGCAGAAATTGCACAAGGAACCCCTGGCAACCTCTGGAGGGGCACCAAGATTTCCCAGAACCCTCACTTTTTCCCTGACAGCTACAAAGCTAAAATGTTATGTAGGTAGGTGAAGAGAGGGACAGAAGTGCTGGGCCAGCACAGTAATCAGACACTTCCAGAGAGGAAGAGAAAAAATATAAAGAAGAAAAAATATTACAAGTAACCATTTAACATAGTAGATTTTTCATGCTAGAATTTCTCTTTAAACCTCAGCTTTAGATAAAACTTCTGTCAGGTTTTTATTCTTGTTTATGACCCCATTGAACAGATGTTTCTATAAAACAGAAAATGGGGAGAGAGAGGCATGGACAGTAAGAAAAACAAGACCACAAACAAGTAGTAAACCGTCAAGTCTTTCTTGATTAAAGCCTAAATGTTTAGTTTTGAATGGAGTGTGGAAGGGTTATAGCCTCTGTCAGGCTTTTATTATGTCTGATTCCTACTTATGAAAGTCACCCTCTTTATTTGTCTTAGTGACCATCATCTCAGATATAGAATGTGATAAGTAAACCAAAATGTTACAGTTGTAACAGAACAAGAATAGAAAGGAAATCCTCCAAAGGAGATACCTGTGCCGGTGAGAGCTGTCTAAGAGGGGTCTCCCTTCCTTCCTTTTGTCCTAACCCCTCTCTACTCAATACAATTGGAAAAAAATGTTGGGCTTTACAAATAAAGTCTAAAGATATAAAGTAAAATAAACAAACTGCATCTTCTCTAAAGAGGGCTGTGAGTGCCAAAGTAACAAAAAAAAGCAGAACTGAACTGTGGGAGTGGATTGGCGACTTGTCAGCGGATTTCATGTATTTTCTTCTTTCTGTTTACTATGAACTGTCCTGCTTCCAGGTTGGCCAGCAGTTTGTGCTGCAGTGTCACCTTCCCACTGTGTGTCCCAGTCTGCAGTCATAGGGTAGAATTATTGATGTGTTTTGGCGTTCAAAGTGACATTCAGACATTCTGTCTATTGCAGACACTGAACTGCTTCCTCATAGACAATAACGGCTTTATTGTGGTGGCGAGACAGCCCGAACAGGTGAGTGGGGGTGCACTTAGGGCATTGGGGGGGGGGGTTAGATGACTGGAATGAGGCTTGGGGAATTCTCAGAATTATTCAGCACAGAATCCTGAGGGTTCACTAAGTAATACTGCGCATTCACTGAGCAATAAGATTTCCTGATTGGTTGTTCTGGGTTATGGCGCTGGTCCCACTATCACTGCACAGCCTTAATAATCTTCATATCACCATTATAATGGAGGCTGGCAGGCTCAGGATGGCGTGGTGATACAGGAAAGGCGTTGAGCTCACAGCGAGACTTTCTTCTGACAGTGGGTGGCTTAGATGGATTTCAAGGACTTTGATATAATGAGCCGCTGATTCTCCATCTGTATCCCGGCCTGTTCGTCATTAAAAACCCATTAACTGCCAATGTGTACAACTGTACGCACACCTGGAGAGAGGTGAAAGCATGGCGTATTACATCCCTCCAACCCTGCCTGCTGCTGTCACTCACCCCCACCCACCCTCTCACCTTCTCTGTATATCTCCTTCTTGGCTTTATTACTCTCTCCTTTCCCCTTTTCTAACTCCCCTCTCACTCTTTTTCCTCTGCCCTAATCTCCTCTCTTCTGCTCCCTCTTTACCTTGCCCCACCGCTTCATCACTTCCTCTCTCCCACTTTTTCTTCACCTCACTTCCCCTGATTTCCTTTAACCGCACTTTTTCTCTTGCTTTCTCCTGCTCTCTGTCCCCCTTTCCTCCTCTTCTCTCCCTCCTTCCTTCTTTTTCTCTCCCTCTTTTTCTTTCTCCCACCTCCCTCCCTTTTTTTTTCCTCTCCCTGCTTCCTTTTCTCCCCTTTCTTCCTTTCCTCATCCCTCCTTGTCTTGTCTTTCTGTACTCTCTCCCCCTTGTTTGCTACCACTGTTTAGTTTTGCTCCTTCTTCCCGGCACCTTTCTCTCTCCCCACATTCTCTATTTCTCAATGAGTTACTCTTATTCTCACCCCCCCCCCCACTTCCTTTCTTCTCTCCTCCCTATCTTCATTTCTCCCCACCGTCCATCCCCTTCTATCCCCCTCTCTTGCCTCTCCTCTTTCCCCCCAGCCTCTCATCTCTTCTTTCAATCACAGTTAAGCTGGCCATGCACTGATAGATTTTTATTGTTGAAAACACAGTAAACTCTGTACTCCTGCACTTGGGGACAGACTCAGCTAGGCCTAGGGTAACATCTCAGATGACCTGCAAAATGCACTCTTTGCTGCCCTCAATGGACTGGGGTAGTCCAATGTCACTGGATACAAAGAAAACAAACAGAGGGCGCACCAGCCTAGTGCATTATCGTAAAAAAAAAGTATTGAAAGGATAAAAAGTAAGTATCGTACTCACAATTGACATACAGGTCAAAGGCACATCACACTCTGAGGAAGAGGCTGTGTCCTCGAAACGCGTTAGCCTGTTGGAAGTCCAGGGTTTCATTTATGGACTTATATGCAGTGTGGATTGGACACCGTGGTTAGTGTGATGTGCCTTTGATCCGTATGTCAATTGTCAGTACGATGCTTACTTTTTATCCTTTCAATAAATATTTTTACGATAATGAACTGGGCCGGTGCGCCCTCTGTTTGTTTTCTTTGTATCCAGATTTTTTTGTTGAGCCTGTGGGTTGAATGAAAAAAAATCTAACAAATTCCTCCATCCAATCTATACAGTTGAGATGGGTGAATCTCCTGTTCTGGCAACCTCACCAGATGTCAAAAACACAAACAGTGTCTGCTTCTCATTGGATGCAGCTGCTTAGGCCAAGTTTTTTGCTTGATTCCTTTGATTTTTCAAGTGAAGGATGTCAGACAGGAGGTGGTTTATAGGGCCACCCACTTGTAGAGTTATGTCTGGTTCATCGGCAGCATCAGAAAGCTGCATAGTGTATGACCAGCTTTATATAGTGTGATAGGTTGGGGGGTTTCGCTCAAGTCAAAAAATAACAAACAAAAATTCCCAGCTCACTTACCTGACAGCCTGCAATAAATGGAATTGTCCTGTTTAACAGTTCACGTTAAAAGAAGCGGTTTAGTTTGCACACATTTACAAATATATGCGTAAGCTTCAGAGGCCACGTCATGACACCCCAGTATATCTGCAGTCCTAACTCTATAAATTTTGAGAGTCTCCAAAGTTGATGCACATATATAACAATGGATAGATTAAGGGCAGGTATGCCTGGAGGGAGACCACCCCTCCCTAAAGGTATAGGAGCGCACTGGGCACCCAGCAATAACAAAATGGCAGTGAAGGTATGCAGTGCGCCCCCCCCTCACCAATTCACCAACAGTACAAACAAATAGCAAACACCCCACTCTTTAACTGGCCTTTGCAGCAAGGAGCCCATGCAAGGGTGACGCATGTCAAAGAACAACAAACAAAAATTCACAGCTCACTTACTAGCCAGCCTACAAAAAAACAAATTGCCCTGTCTAACAGTTCAAATTAAAACAAGCAGTTTAGTTTGCACACATTTACAAATTTATGCATAAGCTGCAGAGGCCACTTTGGGGCACCTCAGTATATCTGCAGTCCTAACTCTATACATTTTGAGAGTCTCCAAAGTTGAAGCACATATATAACAATAGCTAGATTAAGGGATTCGCTCAAGAGTAGTGCTTCCCAGTGAGTCTAATCCACTCCAGAAATGCTTTTCAAGGGCTTGTTGGCTCACTTTTATTACAAGAATGAAAAAAGTTCATACAGAAAGTCAGATGTCTAGGCAGGGGTTTCCACCATCAACACAAACATAAATGACGTTCAGTCTCTTGGCTCTCGCTAGCAATGCCACTGCTCAAGCCCTTTGCTTTGGTCCTCCAGACCATCTAACATAGCACCTGTGTGCTCGTGTACAAACTCTGTACCTGACAATTAGCTCTCTTGCAGCTCCCTGATACTCTGCCACCAACTGCACTTGCACTGTGCAGACACACATCATCTGGTTTCCCTTGTTCAGCCTCACTGAATCTTGGAGTCCTCCTGACTCCTATGCTGAGACCTCCTGTCTCTCAGAGCACCAGACTATTGATGATGACGAGATGATAACAGGTGTGCACATCTGCACACTCAGCCTGCTGTTCTTTAGTAAGACCTGAACACTAGTTTAGAGACTTCTTCTCACCCAAAGCACTTTGAAGTCTCTGAGGTCCAGACCCTTATCCGGGATTTACAAAACCCAGAGAAAAATGAAAACCCACCTTTCTCTGTTCAGAACTAACATTCTAGAGCCACTCAAACTGTATTCTTGAGAACCCTGTTTTGCTTTCTCCTATATTTTAACAGAGGTAGGGTCTTGCATTGTCACAACAGTTACATGGTTAGGTTGGAAAATGACATTAAGTAGAAAAACATAAGTGCATACATTAAAATAATGACTCTAAATAAAGAACTTTACCCAGAGTGCATAAAGGGAAAGCCATAAAATTCCCACATAAAACATGGTCCAATTTACTCCAATCGGGAAAAAAAAATCCTAAAATCCTCCCTGCTCCCCTAAGACAGTTGAATATTTTATGGGCCAACAATCTCTGGTGTTGTTACTTATAAATATTAGCAGCTAGTCATAATCTGTGCATTTAGAAATGCATTCAGCTTTTGTAAAAAACAATCAGCTGATCTGGCTAGAACTGGATCCTGAGGAAGTCTTTTCCACATTTTTACAACCTTTACTGTGAAGAAGCCTTTCTGTATGCAAAGAATAAACCGCTTTTCCTCCAGATGCAAAGGATGCCCCCTTGACCTTAAAATGAAGAGCTTTAAACCAAGCTCACTATGGACCATGCTTATTATGCTATACATGCTAATTATAATAATAAGCTTTCCCCCTCCCCTTTCCATATGCTCTTTTCCAATTTTCTCTCTCACAGACAGGAGCTTTTCTGGGGTGAAGTGGATGGCTCGCTGATGACACAGCTACTCAATATGGGGGTCTTCAGACAGTGAGTTTCAGACAAAAAGTGTTATTTACTGATCTATTGATTTTTTTCCATTTACTAAACCTATCAAACGAATATTCCGGATTTTCCTCATTTTCTATTATATAATTGATTCTGCAGTATTTTGTACATAAATGTCAATTTACAAAGATTTTGTGTAGGGGTTTTTTATCCTAAAAATATTGCTGTCCTTGCGGTGGCATTACTAGAATGTCTATGAGGTGTGTATTGAGGAGAGCAAGGAAAGGGGCCTTTTGAAGTAGAGATCCAATACAGAATCGTTAGAAATACAAATTTTCAGTGTTGATTTCATGTGAAAAAAATAACAATGTAAAATTTCTGCTTGTGAATTGAATATTGTGATGTGAAATTTTTCATAACAAACACATGAAAAATATCTCATGTGTCTTTAAGAATTAAATGAATATATTTCTGTTTGTTTTGTATAATATTTAAATTTATATTCCTCAGTAGCCACAAATTATATAAGTCTACTTTGTGTACACAAACTGGCTTAAAAACACAGATATTACCTTGTATAAGTAGCAGAGACATCATCACTGTGCTGTACATAGCCTGTGCAGAGAGTAGAGCTGTGGGAGAAACCCAGCAGGCCCCACCCATACAGGCTGCCTGCAGAAAACTACAGGAGGGGGCGGAGACAAGACCAGTCACCCTGCAACAAGGAGAGAGAGCAGCAGTGACTGGTCTCTGTATTACAGGAAGCTCCTGCACAGAGGGAAAGTTTCACATTGGATTACTGCACAGATATAGAAGACAGACACAAAGCACATCAGGATTCAAAGAATAATACACATACCTCTTTTATTTAGAAAATGTTTGCTTATCCTGGAGTTCAGATTTAATCTAAAAAAAATTAATATCCTTAAAGTTAGTGAAACAATCTCCCCAAAAAATATGGTTCCAAAAATACAATAGTCCCATATTAAAGCCCCACTCCCTACCGGGGCGGACTGACCATTTGGAAACTCGGGCACTGCCCGAGGGCAACGGGGTTACAGGAGGGGGGGGCCCCATGAGATGCTCAAAAAAGGGGGGTTTGTGAAAAAGAGATTCACAGAAAAGCGGCTACATTATGAACAGACCGTGACACTCAGAAAATTTTCCAAAAATTATGTACACAGATATAAATATGACATATGGGCATTCGCCCTGGTTTAACCATCACCTCAGTATGAGACAATAACACACAGACCTAAAACCATATAAAATGACATCAAGACCGGTCTAAATGTATGTGCAACAGAAAAAGTGACTGCAAGAGTCTAATATCTCTGTAGTACAAACACACAGGTAAACACTTCCCTGAAGAGGTGTATCCAAAAATTATACCATAGGTATACCATAATATTAAATAATGAATTTTTACACCAATATCATAATGGTGAATCCCGAACAGGGAATCCAAAAAAATTATACTATGGATATACTATATCACATGTATGAAATGCGGTAAGCACAATAAGCGTAAAGAGGGGAACAGTAAGCCTCAGGCCTGTGTGGAAAAAGACATAAATGTCACATATATGATGCAATACATTCCTGTGCCGGCACACGTGGTTGGGGGGCCCGTTCAATCTGTTATGTGAACAGCTGTATCATAAAGCTCTTGAATGGAAATAAGCCCCATTTATTCCCAGGATTGCAGATTGCAGCACTCTGCTTGAAATGGTGTCTTCACCACTGTATGTGGACTACACACCACCCTTTGTAGGAATATAAAAGCAAAACATATCCCAAGGAATCTTCTGCCTTGGTTGAGCTATATGCGGTATGTCCTGTATCCTACACAAAGCACCATAATGTCCCCATCCTGTAGTGAAACAAATAATGGTTGTGGGAAACTCACTGACAGAGCTTGCACTCAATAAGATATGTAGGTTCATAAAGATCACAGAGGACCGTATATCTAATGTCCTGTAACAAATCCACTCACCACCTGTGCCGTGGATAAAGGGAATGAAAAAATGTCCTTCATGGATATTGCCAAACACGGCCACAGAGGCCCAGGAACCACCGCTGACATCCGCCGATATACCGCGGGTTCCAGCCCCCCTCTCAGCGCCTGTACTGCTCACACGCTTGCCTCATGGCATGTGAAATGGCTTCCTCCTTATGGGTCAGCGTGCGTTCCACCTAGTGCGCATGACCGGAAGTGACGTATCTGACGTATGACGTCATACGTCAGATACGTTCACTTCCGGTCATGCGCACTAGGTGGAACGCACGCTGACCCATAAGGAGGAAGCCATCTTCACATGCCATGAGGCAAGCGTGAGCAGTACAGGCGCTGAGAGGGGGCTGGAACCCGCGGTATATCGGCGGATGTCAGCGGTGGTTCCTGGGCCTCTGTGGCCGTGTTTGGCAATATCCATGAAGGACATTTCTTTCATTCCCTTTATCCACGCACAGGTGGTGAGTGGATTGTTACAGGACATTAGATATACGGTCCTCTGTGATCAATATGACCTACATATCTTATTGAGTGCAAGCTCTGTCAGTGACTTCCCACATTATTTGTTTCACTACAGGATGGGGACATTATGGTGCTTTGTGTAGGATACAGGACATACCGCATATAGCTCAACAGGCAGAAGATTCCTTGGGATATGTTTTGCTTTTCCTACAAAGGGTGGTGTGTAGTCCACATACAGTGGTGAAGACACCATTTCAAGCAGAGTGCTGCAATCTGCACCCATCCTAGGAATAAATGGGCTTATTTCCATTCAAGAGCTTTTATGATACAGCTGTTCACATAACAGATGAACGGGCCCCAACCACGTGTGCCGGCACAGGAATTATTGCATCATATATGTGACATTTATGTCTTTTTCCACACAGGCCTGAGGCTTACTGTTCCCCTCTTTACGCTTATTGTGCTTACCGCATTTCATACATGTGATATACGTATATCCATAGTATAATTTTGGATTCCCTGTTCGGATTCACCATTATGATATTGGTGTAAATTCATTATTTAATATTATGGTATACCCTATGGTATAATTTTTGGATACACCTCTTCAGGGAAGTGTTTACCTGTGTGTTTGTACTACAGAGATATTAGACTCTTGCAGTCACTTTTTCTGTTGCACATACATTTAGACCGGTCTTGATGTCATTTTATATGGTTTTAGGTCTGTGTGTTATTGTCTCATACTGAGGTGATGGTAAACCAGGGCGAATGCCCATATGTCATATTTATATCTGTGTAATAAAGCATAATTTTTGAAAATTTCTGAGTGTCACGGTCTGTTCATAATGTAGCCGCTTTTCTGTGAATCTCTTTTCACAAACCCCCCTTTTTTGAATGCCTTTTTTGGCTACTGAATGGAAACCAAACATTGGGTGACACGATAACTTAATTAACAACCTCTTAATAACTACCTATAATTTTATAGGCCCCATAGAGATGCCCCTGGTACCTTTTTCATAGGGTTGTTTTGAGTTTGGGCAAGGACACAGGGGCCCCATGATCCCCTATTGCCCGGGGGCTCCATGAGTTGTCAGCCCGCCCCTGCTCCCTACACAACAAAAAAAGAACCCTCCTCACAAGGCGCATGCAGTAAAGCTTCTATTACCTTTTTCCTGACTCCAGCAGGCTCTTTTCCGTGTGTGTGGTCCCCTATAGACTCCTATGTAATCTGCCTCTGGCTGACGTTGCACTTTTTACCTCCACCACGTACAATACAGGGTTAATAGCCCTGCACTGTAAGTGATGAGGAGGAGGCTTTGCCAGAGCATTGAGGACAATGGGAGAGCTACTTTGTTTCAATATTTTTCATAAGAATACTCTATTATTTTTTCTGATCATAGGGGGTTGCCCAAATCGGCATTCGTTTTTGATTTACAGTGATAAGAAAACTCAAAGGGGCATGATGGAAAATTTTTTCTCAAATGTACAAATTTCTAACAGTGTATGTGGTTTTCATTTCGTAAAATCCATTCTTTCCAAAATCTAATTCTAAAAGTAAACATAAACTTTTAAAGGACATTGAAATGTTCTAAGAATTTACATACACATTTTTGTTCAAAATTATACTAGTGTATACCCAGCTACATTATATACAACAAAGGAAATGTAAACTTAACACTGAGCCACATATGAACAAAAGGACAAACTTGATGTGTGGAAACCCTGATGAGAAGACTTGTCCCATGTCTGGTTCTTCTCTTACAGGGTGACGCTGTACGATTACCAGGCGATGTGTAAACACCCCTATCACCATCACAGTGGAGGCCGCACTCTACTTAATGTAAGATGATATGCAGAACAAGATGGCTGCCCAAATGTCACATAGAAAATTTCTGGGGCAGATATGAATATGGCCAACCTGCTGTTGAGAAACTACAAGGCCAAACTTACCCTGCCAGCTGGCATGCTGGTATTTGTAGTTCCTCAACCACTGGAGGGATACTATAGTGTGCTATAAGCAATGTCATTCCACAAAATGGCGGCACAATGTGTTTTTTATGAATTCAAAGCCATGTTGGATGCATTTGATCTCCAGAATTTAGGACTTATTCAAGACAAAGCTACTGGGGGCTCCTTGGCACTTATCTCATCTTCTTTGTCTTTTTCAGCCGCTTTTTGCATTGATGTCAGCTGCACAATGGCTTCTTAGCAACCTGGTCTTGTAAGTGTCTAATATGTATTTAAAGATCCTAAAATACCATTCACAGTTAATAATTTATTTTGGAGTTTGTGTCCGTCCCACTGTGGGGAGATTTCTCTGCAGTAGTTTGTGTCTCTTCCCCTCCCACAATAGTAATATTTCCTGCAGTAGTTTGTGTCTCTGCCCCTCCCACAATGGTAATATTTCCTGCAGTAGTTTGTGTCTCTGCCCCTCCCACAATGGTGAGATTTCCTTGTAGTAGTTTGTGTCTCTGCGCCTCCCACAATGGTGAGATTTCCTTGTAGTAGTTTGTGTCTCTGCCCCTCCCACAGTGGTGAGATTTCCTTGTAGTAGTTTGTGTCTCTGCCCCCTCCCACAATGGTGAGATTTCCTGCAGTAGTTTGTGTCTCTGCCCCTCCCACAGTGGTGAGATTTCCCTGCAGTAGTTTGTGTCTCTGCCCCTCCCACAATGGTGAGATTTCCCTGCAGTAGTTTGTGTCTCTGCCCCTCCCACAATGGTGAGATTTCCTGCAGTAGTTTGTGTCTCTGCCCCTCCCACAATGGTAATATTTCCTGCAGTAGTTTGTGTCTCTGCCCCTCCCACAATGGTAATTTTTCTGCAGTAGTTTGTGTCTCTGCCCCTCCAGCAATGGTGAGATTTCCTGCAGTAGTTTGTGTCTCTGCCCCCCACAATGGTGAGATTTCCCTGCAGTAGTTTCTGTCTCTGCCCCCCACAATGGTGAGATTCCCCTGCAGTAGTTTGTGTCTTTGCCCCTCCCACAATGGTGATATTTCCTGCAGTAGTTTGTGTCTCTGCCCCTCCCACAATGGTGAGATTTCCCTGCAGTAGTTTGTGTCTCTGCCCCTCCCACAATGGTGAGATTTCCTGCAGTAGTTTGTGTCTCTGCCCCTCCAGCAATGGTGAGATTTCCTGCAGTAGTTTGTGTCTCTGCCCCTCCCACAATGGTGGGATTTCCCTGCAGTAGTTTGTTTCTCTGCCCCTCCCACAATGGTGAGATTTCCTGCAGTAGTTTGTGTCTCTGCCCCTCCCACAATGGTGAGATTTCCCTGCAGTAGTTTCTGTCTCTGCCCCTCCCACAATGGTGAGATTCCCCTGCAGTAGTTTGTGTCTTTGCCCCTCCCACAATGGTGATATTTCCTGCAGTAGTTTGTGTCTCTGCCCCTCCCACAATGGTGAGATTTCCCTGCAGTAGTTTGTGTCTCTGCCCCTCCCACAATGGTGAGATTTCCTGCAGTAGTTTGTGTCTCTGCCCCTCCCACAATGGTGAGATTTCCTGCAGTAGTTTGTGTCTCTGCCCCTCCCACAATGGTGAGATTTCCTGCAGTAGTTTGTGTCTCTGCCCCTCCCACAATGGTGAGATTTCCTGCAGTAGTTTGTGTCTCTGCCCCTCCCACAATGGTGAGATTTCCCAGCAGTAGTTTAGTGTCTCTGCCCCCCCACAATGGTAAGATTTCCTAGCAGTAGTTTGTGTCTCTGCCCCTCCCACAATGGTGAGATTTCCTGCAGTAGTTTGTGTCTCTGCCCCTCCCACAATGGTGAGATTTCCTGCAGTAGTTTGTGTCTCTGCCCCTCCCACAATGGTGAGATTTCCCCCCAGTAGTTTGTGTCTCTGCCCCTCCCACAATGGTGAGATTTCCTGCAGTAGTTTGTGTCTCTGCCCCTCCCACAATGGTGAGATTTCCTGCAGTAGTTTGTGTCTCTGCCCCTCCCACAATGGTGAGATTTCCTGCAGTAGTTTGTGTCTCTGCCCCTCCCACAATGGTGAGATTTCCCAGCAGTAGTTTGTGTCTCTGCCCCTCCCACAATGGTGAGATGTCCCCGCAGTAGTTTGTGTCTCTGCCCCTCCCACAATGGTGATATTTCCTGCAGTAGTTTGTGTCTCTGCCCCTCCCACAATGGTGATATTTCCTGCAGTAGTTTGTGTCTCTGCCCCCTCACAATGGTGATATTTCCTGCAGTAGTTTGTGTCTCTGCCCCTCCCACAATGGTGAGATTTCCCTGCAGTAGTTTGTGTCTCTGCCCCTCCCACAATGGTGAGATTTCCTGCAGTAGTTTGTGTCTCTGCCCCTCCCACAATGGTGAGATTTCCTGCAGTAGTTTGTGTCTCTGCCCCTCCAGCAATGGTGAGATTTCCTGCAGTAGTTTGTGTCTCTGCCCCTCCCACAATGGTGAGATTTCCTGCAGTAGTTTGTGTCTCTGCCCCTCCCACAATGGTGAGATTTCCCAGCAGTAGTTTGTGTCTCTGCCCCTCCCACAATGGTGAGATTTCCCAGCAGTAGTTTGTGTCTCTGCCCCTCCCACAATGGTGAGATGTCCCCGCAGTAGTTTGTGTCTCTGCCCCTCCCCCCCACAATGGTGATATTTCCTGCAGTAGTTTGTGTCTCTGCCCCTCCCACAATGGTGATATTTCCTGCAGTAGTTTGTGTCTCTGCCCTCCCACAATGGTGATATTTCCTGCAGTAGTTTGTGTCTCTGCCCCTCACAATGGTGGGATTTCCCCACAGTAGTCTCAGCCTCTCCCACAAAGCCATTATGAAAGTATTGCTCCCTCCCTGTTCTGCGGCAATTGGACATACAGTAACTGCAGATATAAGATGTGATTCAGCTGGTAAACGCACAAAAAATGAAAAATTGTATTAATCTGCTACACAGCAAATATATATATATAGATAAATAACAATGTAGAGCTTGTTGATTCAGGAAATATCCGATGATCTTTGGGGATCAGGAATGTTTTCATCTGAACAAATTAGACCAATGCTTTATAATGGATCCCCTTCTGCAGATTTAGGGTTCTGCGGATATAAGCCGATTGATTGTGTCTTTATTCAATTCATATACCTAAAAAATATCACGTCAATTTATAGAGGAATGTTTACAGACACCACCAGCCTGGAATTTTCCTTGTCTCCTATTTCCTTCCAAATGTGGCAATTCCCAGCTGGGCAATTGTCAGAGGCAGGTCTACACACAAAGCAAAGGAAAATTCTTAATTGTTCTTTGTTTTTAACTAGTTTAAAAAGAATTGTTTTCAATAACCACCTATAGTTCCCACTAAATCACTAAATGTGGCAGAATCTGTGTATTTTTAGCAGGTTCACATATGAAGTCATTTACCTACCTTGTGATGTAGCATATTTATATCCCCATTGTGCTACTAAACCCTATGCTCTCATTATTCTGGCCGCAGATACAAAGCTCATTGTTAAACATTGAAAAAAAGTATTTTGCAGCCACGTCTTTCCTGGTCATATAACAGCTTTCAGCAACCCAGCAATAAAAACCTGCTCACTGAATTTTGGTGCCTACCCATCAGAGATCAATGTAATCACAACCTTGGTGGAGGCCGTATTAAGTGGCTTCAGCTTGCAGAAAGTACTGTAGATTCTAGATGGCAGGGTATCTCTGTTTAAAACTGTAATTGTCTGAAACCATTCTAGTATTAAAAAAAGAAAACATTTTCTAAAATGCCTAGCCTTGTTAGCCAATAATAAATGATTTAGAGCAGAGTTTATGTTGAAACAGCGTACCAAATGAAATCCTCACGTGTGTAAAACTATTTCTTGATTCTGTGGAATCTCTGTATTGAAAACTTACAATAAAACCATTGCATAAGAAAAAAAGGAAATCCTTATGTGCCCTTGAAAAATAATGTATTTACAGTGGGGATCGAAAGTTTGGGCACCCCAGCTAAAAATTTGTATTAATGTGCATAAAGAAGCCAAGGAAAGATGGAAAAATCTCCAAAAGGCATCAAATTACAGATTAGACATTCTTATAATATGTCAACAAAAGTTAGATTTTATTTCCATCATTTACACTTTCAAAATAACAGAAAACAAAAAAATGCGCCACCTGCTTGGAGTTTGCATGTTCTCCCTGTGCCTGCGTGGGTTTCCTCCAGGTGCTTTGGTTTCCTCCCACACTCCAAAGACATGCTGGTAGGTGAATTGGCTCCTGTCTAAATTGTCCCTAATATGTGTATGTATGAATGTAAGTTAGGGACCTTAGATTGTACGACCTTGAGGGTTATATAAGTACCTGAAAAAAATAAAAGGTCCCAGTAAGATAATAATATATATGCATTTAAAGGATAAGTTCAAACTTTAGGAGAAATTAATAAATGCACTTATTTTTGCAGAAAAAAAAAGTGTATTCCTACAAAAGTCTAAAAAGCATTGCACTCACAGTCAGTGCTTGATGGATGCAATGTCAGGCTCCAGCACACTCTCATTCCAGCTTTGTGCCCATACCTACATGCTTTCAGTTACAAAGCTAGAGGAAAATTGGATGGACTATGAGGTTGCTCATTAGTGCCCTCGTAGTCCATTGAGAACTGCAAGCTGTCTGCTGCAGTGTCAGACAGGACTTGTAGTTTCTTCATTCAAAGATTGCTGTGAATGAGTGATGCGGCTGTGCAGGGCCAATATTAAAATGTGACAGCGGGTGCAGGGAGAGGATCCCCACCCACTGTCACAGTGGAAGGGGTGAGCAGGGCACGAGCTGGAACATGTTACAAATACGGGTGTCACATGTTCCAAAGGTGAACTTCATTTATTTTATTCTTGTTATTCACATTGTGTAGACATACAAAAGAGTCGGTAATCCAAGAAGTTCAAAAAATTTTCTGATCGCACTTTATGGGTATCATTGCCCTTGTAAAAATGGCCAAAAAAAAGTTTAGGAAATCAGATTACCTTTGAAAAGTAAAATCTGACCTTTCCCGCACACACCTTTTTGTCTTGCAGGTTTTTTCTGGAGTTTAATCTGTGTCCCTTCTGGTCATCAGAGAACACTGCAGAAGGTAGATCTCTCCCTACTGATCCTGTTCTTCCAGAGCACTTGATCAATGACTGTGTATAAGTGCAGACCTCTTATATCAGACCATGGCTCCTCCAGTCCATAATATACCTAAGCTGTACAGATACAAATTATCAACCTAATTTATTGAAGGCACCTGCTAACTGATAATGCCAAGGAGCATGGAGGCGGGACTTTGCTTAGAAATGGGTGGAGTTTACGAATTTCCACACGTAAGGCAGAGTCATGTTGGTGGTGTGGTTTCTTGGTGTCTTTTTCTTGCAATGATTCTATTAGGGCATGATGTGTAGTTATCATTGTCACATGTGATTCATGATATCCCATCATCTCTCCACATCTCTTTCATCAACCCTCCATCCATGTGAACTCATCGACGCCTCATCCATCATCTGACCCGCCATGTGACCTCCAGCAAAATCCTTTTTTCATCACTGTAAGTATAAGAGGGTGATATGATAATCAAGGGCATCCCTTGTCTCGCAAATGTATCATTTTTTTTACATAACTAAAACTTGGATTTATATTAAGCTCCCTCCAGCTGAAAGTTGAGATTAGGCTTGCACTTGGAGACACTGTCCTGTAAACTGATAGGTGAGACAAAGGACTTAGGTGGGCTTACAGGAGTGAGTGAGCTCAGTATAAGTGTCATATATTATTATTATACAGGATTTATATGGCGCCAACAGTTTGCTCAGCACTTTACAATATAACGGGAGACAATATAGCAACAATACAGTTCAATACAAGAGGGTTAGGAGGGCCCTGCTCCTTGGAGCTTACAATCTAGGAGGAAGGGGCTGGTGGTACAAAAGGTAATAACTGTGGGGGATGGACTGATAGGAGGAATAGAAGATGGGTTGGGATGATAACTAGCAGACCAAAGAGCAATCAGGAGGAGGGGATGTAGGGCATATCTGCAAACTTTGCAGTCTCTGTAAGCTATATGGCACAGTAGAGGATCATATGAGTATGACATTACTTTCCAGCTGTTGAAACAGTTTGTACATTTGAGGGCCAGTTCACACTTTTCTGCATCCAAAACGCACAGAAAGTAGGTTACATGGTTGTCAATGTCTTAGTTCACATCAGTGCTTGCAGTTCCAGTGCATTCCAGTTGCAGAAAAAAAAGTAGAACAGGCCGCATTTTGTCTGCACAGAACTGTTAAATTGAAGAAAACGAAAGAGGAAAAAATTAACTGGAATGCATAAAAAACCGCACTGGAACGTGTCAAAAACGCACCAAAAAAGCATCCAGAATGCATCTGCACTGTGTTTCTATAGTGTGAAATGGCCCTAAGCCTTAGCTTTCATGTGCTCTGTAAACTGAACTGTTACTTAAAGTGGACCTCTCAATCACTGTACAAGTCTGCATGAATATATTTCTGACATGTCACGATATGCAGCAGCAGCAGTATCAGAAAAGCTTTTCAGAAAAGTTATCCTTGAGCTCCAGTCCAATGATATTTCCTAGACTGTGATGGTGTCATCAACTTGCTATAGGTAGGAGAAAGCATTTCTTCAGTCTCCCCTGCCCAGTGATCAGATTGCAACAGTGTAACTATGTATCAAGAACTGCACAGGCACCAGGATTTGCATGAATGTGTCTCTGAGCCACCATCTCAGTCCAAAAAGTAGATGGTGACCCTGATGCCTGAATAAAATGACTCTGACCTTCTGGAGAGAAAAGAAGATGAATGCATTGTCAGGGTGAGTACTGTGAGCTCCGTGAGAGGTAATAAATACCTTTTGTGTTACACTACCACATTACTTGGCACAGGGGCGTCCCTAGGGTTGGTGTCACCCGGTGCGATAACACTTGGTGACACCCCCTCCAACAATCCCCGCAGAATGGATCGGATCTGCGGATTGAGCATAATGGATCAGACTCCTATCCATTATGCTCCCCAATCCGCAGATCCGATCCATCCTGCGGGCACCGTTGGCTTTCTTTACAACTTACCTTTTCGTGTAGCGGGTCTGGTGTCACCCTGTATAGGTTGCATGCCGACGATCCCCGCAGGATGGTTCGGATCTGCGGATTGAGCATAATGGATCGGACTCCGATCCATTATGCTCCCCAATCCGCAGATCCGATCCATCCTGCGGGGATCGTCAGCTTGCTTTACAACTTACCTTTTTGTGGTGTGGGTCCGGTGTCACCCCGTGCGGTAGGTGTCACCCTGTGCGGCGCGCACCCCCTGCACCTGCCTCGGGACACCACTGACTTGGCATGCTGCACTTCACATGATAAAATATATCTAATGACAGGTCCACTTTAATAACTGCGTTTACATACTGCATAGTCCTCCCTCATCACTCATTCTGGTGGGAGGTTGCCCACACATATCCTGCACCCCAAAGATTTTTTGGGCTGGAGGATAGCACTGTCTGTGCCATATTGTAGCCATATCTAGGAACAGTTGTTTTACCAATGACACCTATAAATGATGAAAATGTCCAAATAAACGTCCAAATAAACGCTATTCTGTCTCCCATTGTGTGAACTGTACAGTTATTGAAGGAAGGAATCAAAAAGCTTCAGACCGCCTGTTTGCAGCAGCAGTGTGTGTATTATGCTCCAGCCTTTGTCAGGACGGAGAATAATTCCTACTCTTGTCCTGTATGAATATTGAAGCCTCTTGAAGGACCACGTGTGCAAAAGGAGGCAAATTAGGCATTTCTGTGAAATGTAGCTTCACTGCTGCACTGTTGTAGTCAAGAAATAAAGTCAATATGTTTATTTTGTCCAAATTGTATTTTTATGGCTCCCTACGTAGGGAAAAAAAGGAAGAACTCCTGGGAATAACCACAAGAGAAAATAAAAGGTGGTAGGCAGGAGAGCCTTTATAATGTTGTATTGAGCTAAGATTGAGAACAGGCAATCTTTCAGCAAAAATTGAAATAGGGAGGGATTGTAACTCACATCATTGGAGCTTGCCAATGACCATAGGTGACTTGTGTATGTAACCTGTGATAACTTGTCAATTGTAGAAAATACATCTGTCTACCTGAAGATGATGGGATGGTCACCCTCAAAGCTTGGAGTTGCCCAATTCTGGGTGCACTTGGAGGACATCAGAATTTTAGCATGGAGTTGCAGGGAATAGGAAAAAAGAACTAAGTTGTAGCAGAGACACCCATGGAGGGATGGAGTGTGAAATAGTACAGACCACAAAGTAACAAAAATCCTGATGAATGCTGTCATAACTAAGAATTTATTTTTCTTGGAACACCAATGTTGGTGTTCTAAATAAATATTTATTCATTACTTGTCAGTTCACACTCCATCCTTCCACGGGTGCCTCTGCTATACCAGCTATGGAGCATAAAATAGACCTTTGGGGACTTTCCATTTGCAGCAGCTCTATTTTACATCCTGACATCCCCAAGAGGACCTATGATAATAATAGCCAGAGCATCGAGTGACCATCCTAACATCTGCATGGAGATAGGCATATTCTTCACAAGCGTTCATCATAAGTCGTGTACATCATTCACCTTAGATCATTTGCAGTCTTGTCAGATGTACATTCAGGATTTTTTCAATTCGCAACAACACCATATTTAGCTTGGATCTACTCATCAACAGCCAGTCAAGGATTTTGCTATGTGGCCCTTTCATACACAAAAGCTGGAGTTTATACAACGAATACCCACTTATCTTCATTCTTCTATCACCAGCTCACAAGCACAAAAAGCAGGACATGCTACAGCCCTGTGACACCGAATACCCAGCCTTCATACATGAAACCTCAATCCAGGAGGCCAATGGACTCATCGAGTGCGGCCACTGCCAAAGGTGAGTCTTGTCTACCTACAAGGATCAACTTCAAACGTTCACTTTACAGGGTGGGTGCTCCTTTGCACCTGGTTCACATATCCGCGTTCCTGCGGTCTGCATTTTGCGCGGGCGCGAGAGCCCATTCATTTGAATGGACTCCCGTGCCCCGGGACATGCAGGGAAGAAGTTCCTGCACTTCTTCTCAAAACACAGCCCACACAGGAACCTCGGTTCCCAGTATGGTTGCGATTTCCAGTGCGGGCGGGTCTACATTCATCTGTGCGGGTGGTGCGGCTGCACGGATTTTTGTGCAGATCCACAGTGGCACCACCCGCAGATGTGAACCTAGCCTTATACCGTACCTTTTACATACCTTAGCCTTTAATACACCTAAGCAAATCAAAAAGTGGGTAAATGTAATTTATGTCATCTGGGTTTCTAATGATGTAGTGTGCAGACCCAGGGATTTTAGTATGCCAGGCTATAGCAAAGAAAGTACCCCAGACTCCCTATTATGAATGGCCCTTTAGTTTACTTTTAATTGGTCAGCAGGGATGAACAAGGAGCATGCACATCTAATGAGGTGCCTTCTTTCACACAGGGAAACGTAGTCACCTTCATCTTCCTCCTGTGAACACTTAAAAAAAAAAACAGAACAAAAAAAAATTATTACTATTTTTTTTTCAAGATCACATCAGTTTTTATTGATTTCAGCAGATGATCAACATGCTTGGCTATTAGAATGGAGCTCTTCTTTAAAGGAGAACTTCAGGAATTACTTTCAATAAGGACTGTGGGTCCTTAGTAGGTGTAATATGTTTACATTTATCTCTGTCCCAAAAAACTCTGATGGGATTTCAGCAGTACTGTTTACTAAATGCTTCCAGTCCATGTTACTATTTGAAATGAATTAGTCCCTGTAATAGAATTCTATGATGACCCTAAGGGCTCATGTACACTGCAGCTGATAAACTAACGTTCAGGAGCTGTTGAGCTTTTTTTTCAGCAGCCCCTGAACTCTCCCTAATGTTTTCCTATGTGTCCATGTACACTATGTCGTTTACAGGCAGTTGAGTTTACAGTCATTTTTGTTAATGCACCAAACTTGCGTTCAGGATTAGATTTTATCGGTGTTTCAAACGCCAAACACTTGTAAAAGCAGTTAACTGCATTTATAAGCGTTTGCGTTTAGAAGCATTTTTTAACTGTTCCATATCCAAATGCTGTCCAGAGCCTTTTTTCATCATCAGAAATGCATGCAAAGCGTTTTCCATGTATTCAAATGGACCCGGTACACCAGTGCAGTCAGTTCCAGGTGTCACGTGAAGGAAAAAATGGTAGAACGTGCCACATTATGCTCATGATGGTGAATACAACCAGAAAAGACAGGTCATCTCAACACATACTGCTCTCTCTGCTTCTGCTCTCTGTATTCCTCTTAAAATGTCTGAAATAGTTATTTTTTTACTATTTTTCAGTGCATTCTGGGCATTTGGGAAGGTCTCCCGAGGTTATCTTTTAAAAATGCTTCTAAACGCAAACAAGCATAAACGCAGCTAAACTGACGTTTTGTAACCTATGTTTTCCAGCAGTCAGTTTCCATCGTTCAGAAGAGTTTTCCAAAAGCCCCGTGTACATGATTCCTAATTCTGTTAAAACAATGAATGGGGACTTGTGGGGGGGCACTGTGTTAACAATACAGTTACTTAGCAAGGTTGAAAAAAGACGCTAGTCCATTTAGTTCAGCCAGCAAGAAAAATATATTGAAAACTCCCATATACACAATCCTATACCCACAGTTGATCCAGAGTAAGGCAAAAAAAAATCCTAATGAAGCACGATCCAATGCGTTTCAATTGGGAAAAAAATCCTTCCTGATACAGTTGTGCTCTCATCAAAGTTTTCAGAGAGCCGTATCTGGTGAAGGACTGCACGAAGATATATGTAATTAACACGGCCGACCTACCTCCCACAGTCCTTACCAAAAATATTTCCTGGAGCTTTCCTTTAATGTCACAGTATAGTTAGTAGATAAGGCACTTACATAATGTTCTCTATGTGTTGCATTCACTTCTGGTCTATGCTGTGAGCACCATCTTGTGGTTAGCTGGCTGAACTGTTGGCAAAAGAGCTAAATTTAAAGTACATGTATACCTGAAGATTGAATTTTTTCTTATTCATTCTCTTTTGGTCTGCTAAATAAAGCATTAAGAGAATTTTCTAACTATGTTCCATAAGTACAGAAAATACCTGTTGATCCTGCTAGAAATCGTGTGAGCTTATAACATTCTGTGATCTCTGCTGCAGCTGTTCTTCTATCTGTTGCATTGTTCACAGCCATCTTAATGGACTACAAACCTCCCTCATACCCATAATATGGAGATGAGGAGAGTTGGAAGTAGGACAAGTGTGCTACTGGTAGGATCACAAGGTAAAAAAATTGAAAAAAGCCTGAAAAAAGAAAATGAATGCAGCCACCACACCTAAAGACTGGTTAGCTGCAATATAATATGATAGGGTGGATTTAGAGTTTAAAGGGTTCGGGGTCAATTGTTTTAGGTATACACATTTTCAGTCTGATATATTTTTTTTCCATAAAGTGTATTAAGAAAGTACATAGCATAAAAAATATACACTTAATACAAAGCGATAAAGTGTGATAAAAAAAGGAAAAAGCATTGCAAAAGAATGAACAAAAGCCATACATAGAGAGATGGTTAGGTAAACAAACAAAGATCGCATGTCATACATACTATCAATGATGTTAGTGATAGACAATTAGAAGAGGTGATATTTTATATATATATTTTCTATGTCTATAAAAAATATTTACTTTAAAAAAAAAAAATATAGCGTGCACTAATTATAATGATATTACAGAACACCGGGGGTTTTCTAAACAGAGAAAAGCAGGCGCCCCTTTCCTTTAGGCTCTCCAAATAAAGTTCCACACTGCCTTGTGTAAATGGAGCCAACAGGGAGAGAGGGAGAGGGTACTTTTCTGACTAATGTGTGTGCTATTGGCCTCTGTAAAACATTGGGCTGTTTTAAGCAAAGCAGCTAAGATTACTCTGGTAAACTTGTGAAAAGGAGCCTAGAGACTGGCTGAATTAGGAAAGTATTAAATAATTAAGTGCGGGAGTACATATTTACATCACTAAAATGAAAAGTATTTTGAAATGTTTATTTTTTAATCTTTGGTCAGGATAATCCATATTAATATATCCTCTCCTGCCCCTTATACACCTGTTTTTTTCTCTGATGTGTCTCTGCTTTTTTCTCTGCAGGATGTTTGTCATGCAGAAGGTTGTGAATAGTAATCTTCTCCTTCTTGTCAGCGACTCCAGCTGCGACTGCAGCGTTTTCTCTGAAGTCTCATTACAAGCCAAAGAAGTAAAATATATCCTTTCCATGTAGTCTGCAGTGGCAGCTCTTGATTTGTGTTATGCAATCTGCCCTTCAATGTACAGAAGCTCCAGCCTGCACAAGCCATATACTGTGCTTCAGTCAGTGATACTGCTCATAGGCCGATAGCGGCTGCTTTCACCAATTCATGTCATCCTCCTAATATACTACCAATCACAGAAACTGTAACGTCACATTACCATAGGATTTAGCTGTTCAATAAACTTTTCCTCACAGTAAGAAAAAACAGATGACACTCCAAAGTATTCCTAAAGCCCACCTTCAGGGTCTGTGATCATGACCCCCCTCCTTCTCAGAGACCCCCCAGAGTGTATTTTTTTAATACTTTTTCCAGATGTGTTGAGGCATAAGGCATGCAGTGTATTTTTTCTTTTTGAAGGACAAATCATCTTGTGGCAGAAACACATACTTCAGGGGGTCAGAAAGGAAGTGAGTAGTGCAACCCGAGTTGATTTTTTTTTTTAACACCTTGAGGGGTTCTTTATCTTTAAATTTTCCTGAAGTTTAGCTTTTAGTTCTGATGCTTTTCACCCCATTTACGCAGAGATAAAGCAGACTGGAAGCGATGGAGACGTTACACACAGGCTCAACGACTCAACATTTGGGAGAGTATAGGATGGAAATGAAGAAGGAAAAGAGGATGAAGAAGGAAAAGAGGATGAGGAAGAAAAGAGGTGTCTCTTTCTACTGTGAGGAATACAATGTAATAAAAGCCTGATTTATGTGGTAGTTTTTTGGAAATGCCCCTTAAAATTTGAATTTGCTAATGCTGATTCTGAATATGTTGTGATGGTGTATTGAAAATCTAATGTCCCTCTATTGGATTTGTATCTAGTTGCAGCTTAAAGCTGGGTACACACTATAAGAAAATCAGAAGAAAAATTCTGTACGAGGAACAATCGGTCAGTTATCTGTTTGTTAGTACGATGCTTTCGAGAGCTGGTTGCGACTGTTTGGATGAAAAAAAATGGAGGCGCACGCTAGAAAGCTTTATATTTCGTGAAAAAAATGTCCGATTTTCACTCAATGTGTACAGTAATCATATAGAAATTATTGAATAAAAAAATGCACGATTGGAAATTACTGTCGAGAAGAAGGTGGCAATGAAGACAGAGATCATAAAAGAGATGGAATATTTGCCTTTGTCATTCAAGAATTTTTGGACAAGTTAATACCGTTGTCGGTTACATCATGATACGCACCTTCGTGGAAAATCAGATGATTGTTTGTCCAATTTTCTCATAGTGTGAACCCCACTAAATTGTGTATAACAAAAAACAGCTTAATATGCAGGTTCTGATTGCTCACCTCCTTGAAAATGCTAGTTACCTGGCTGTCTCTGGCTGCAGCACTGGATGCATACTTGGTCCATAACAAATATGCATCCAGTGAAGCTAGAATTCTTGCTATGCATATTTATTCCAGGTCATTGACTTAGATATATACACCTGTGTTTGTCACCTTAACTTGGTCGCACATAACGCTTCTGTGAAGTGTGAGCGAATGAGATCCCAGAAATTGAGACGGCGACCGCACTCCTGTCACGACTTCCACCCAGAGGTAAGTACCACTGAAAGATATAGTCACCAAAAGGTCCCGAGCAAGAACAATATTTTTGCCCTTACTCAACTACTGCTCTAAAATATTATGTGGCCAAATGTTTATGGACACCTGTCCTTCACACCTACTATGAGCTTGTTCTCATTCCCAAACCATGGAGTTGTCTCCATTCTGAGAAGGTTTTCTTCAAGATTTTGGAGTGCATCTGTGGAAATTTGGGCCCATTAGTGAGGTAAGGTACTTCTGTTAAATGAGAATGCCTGGCTCATGATCAGAGCTCCATTTTATCCCAAAGGTGTTCAGTAGGGCTGAAGTCAGGGTTCTGCACAGGCTGCAGTTCCTCCACACCAAACTGATCAAACAATGTATTTAGGTAGCTGGCTTTATGCACAGGGGTACAGTCTTGCTGGAATAGAATAGGACCTTCTACAAACAGTTTCCACAGGATTAGAAGTGCAGAATTTAAACAAAAATGGCAACTGCCCTAATCAATCAATACCTAGTAGGTTGCACAAGGTAAGGCTTTATACAATACAGACACTTTCCAGTACACTCAACAGTCAGCCAGCAAAAACAAAAAAGGGGGGGGGGGGGTTTGACTTTGATCATAAAATCCTTTTCTTGGCGCCATGGATTGGCACCAGGAAAGGAAAATTACAGTAAGTATTTGATACAATTCTCTGTTTTCTTGGAGTGACACAGGAGAAGTAATTCAGGTATACTGTGTTATGCTATGCTGCTGCTGCTGCTGCTGCTGCCTTCAGAATATTGGACACTGGCAAAACAAATCTATAAGGAAAGTTTTGTAGCAAGCATAAGTAGGAGTGGATAATAAGAATAGATAGGAGAGGGACCTATGTCCCCTAATGTACTACAGGAAAAGCATTTTACAGTAAATAAAAACTCCTATTTTCTTAAAGAACATTGGCAGTATCCAATCGAAACATGTCGGCATAGGCAAAAAGTGACATCACCAGTACAGGAGCATTGCTGTGGTGTGTGCATCAGAGGGTTTTTTTTTACTATTGCATGGATACTGGTTGCCAGTGGCCAGGGCCCAGCCTGTTTGTGTCTGATATTTGTGTATAGAAGTGAGTTGATAGTTGAACTCATCCGAACACCGGCTGAATCAGCCTCTCACCTTAAGGATTCGACCCTTGCGAGTCAAAGCGCTTATTAGGATCCCTCTCACAGATCCTCCAGGTAAGTATCTCTCCAAGGCTCGCAAGGGTCCAATCCTTAAGGTGAGAGGCTGATTCAGCCGGTGTTATCAGCACGAGTGTTTTGTGTTCACCTGAGTGATCATCTTTAAGTTTGGACTTTATATACACGGAAATATTATTTTTTATGTTTAGGTGCATGTACCGAGTTCACATATATGCACGTTTTGAGTTTCTTCACTTTATGGGGTTTATATATATGTGTTAATACACATTGGTGCTGTGTGTGTTATGTATATATATATATATATATATATATATATACATTTATAATGAGCACGTAATATTCTTTTATATGATTAGTTCACTTTATCTATTTAGTTTTTTTCACATATATGCTTTATGTGCATGATTTCACATAAGTGGATATATAAAAATATTTTTCAATTTATTATTAGGCATTTTTTTGGTTCACATGTGTTTTTTAAGTGAGTAGCGCTACATTGGTTCCATGTGTTTATGCTGAAGATCATTGGTATATTATTTAATGTGAGCAGCTTCTCGTAATTATTTAATTAATTAATTTTTGAAGGTTTTCTGAGCGCAGGAGGTTCACACCATTACTGTTATCCTTGTCTGACATTCCCCACCTGCGACAGAGACCTTGAAACACCTCAGGATAAAAAGGCCATTCTCCAGAGTCTGCACTTTGCTGGTTGGAAGAGTCCACCTGCCAGTTTTCCTAGGATATGCATAGCTGACAAGGCTGGAACATGAAGTTCTGCCTAAGCTAGAATCAGAACCACTTCATTTTAAGCCTCGCGATTTCTGGTTCCTCCCCCATAGTTGATGTAAGCCACTATTGTGGCATTGTCCCACTGCATCCTGGTAGGATGTCTCTGCAGATGAGAGGTTCAGCATTGAAGGGATAACTAAATCACCCTGGAGTTTGGGCATATTGAGCTGGAGACAAGCTTCCTCTGACAAACTAAGTCCATCAGGCATATGGTATGATCGAAAACTGCATCCTCTTGTCCCACACTGTCAGAGAGATACATTGCAATGGTCAGGAGTGAAATTGGGCATATGGGATTGCCTCAAAGGAGGCCGCCATCAAGCCCAAAACCCTCAGGAAAATGTAGACTGTACAGTCCAAGTGTGAGAGCAGTGAGTCTTTAGTTTGTTCACCTTGGACAAGGCTGTATCTAAGTCAGGACCAGATACTCAAAGCACTGATTTTTGGAGATTTAGGATCCATCCAATTCCCTGTAGCATCTGACTGTTCTGGATATTTTATAGATAGGCAACTCCTAGTCTCATATTGATTAGTGTTTCCAAATTAATAATACTGCAGCAGGGAACAGACACAAAAAGATACACTCAGCATCTTTCCAAATAAGTGTTCTGTTTATTCGGCGCAATTGACATTTTTTATACACATGATTACGTAGGTATCACAGTAATATTTCAATTGTACTTTTATGGTAACAAGGGGTGTCACATAGGCAGGCTAATTTCTAATCAGGACTTGAAATAATGAAACCATTATTAGGGTCATGTGCACAATGAGTGCAGTATGCAATACATAGGGAAAGCATACAAAAATAGAGTACAGTTTTATACAGAATGTACAATTTCCTTTATGCTGACACAGCCAGTCGACTGTTCTCTGAGTAGGGAGATATCCAGATATCCCAATACAGGGATTCCCTGAGAGCAAAGAGAAGCAAGAAAAAGGGCTAGCATCTTGATGAAGATCTGAGGCACAATGAACAGGCCAAAGGGAAGGACAAGAAATTGGTAATGTTGTGTGGTCACAGCAAAAGATAAATAGCATTGATGCGCTGGGGAGAGGAGGACAAGCAGTTAGGCATCCTTGATGTTGGCAGAGGCCATAAGGTCTGGATGGAGGGATGCAAAAACTGACTTGGTGGATTCCTTGTGGAATTTTTGTACCTGGAGGAAGGTGCCAAGGACCTTCAGAGGAAGCCCTCTTTTGTGTTGGGTACAGTGAATAGGAACCTTGAAATCTCACCTTTTCTGGACACAATGATTATAACCCTTGAGGAAAAAGCTTCGCCAGAACATTAAGGTCTGCCTCTCATCAGGGATATTGGCAAGTTGGATCACATGAAGCAGGGTAGAAGCAGAGACTGAAATTCTGAATTGTAGCCTCTAGATACTTAGAAATCAACCACCTCCTATCCTACTATAATTACCCTATAACACAAACAACACCTTCCCCTGAAGGTGTACCAAACTATATATATGACAGTGTTATTAACAAATGTTCCAAAGCAAATATAATCATATAGATACCCAATTATTATAAAATGAACCCATTACCAATATAAAGTCCACTATGATTTTTATGAAAATACGCAAAATGTCCCATCAATAACTCCCAACGGTGTTCAAAATTAGTCCACCTCAAAAAAAAAGAAAAACTCATATAGTGCATTAACCTTTATCAAATAAACTTTATCTATATTTCATCCAGTGAAAATAAGTAAAAGTTGTGAAAAACGTGAACCACACGTGATCAGTGAAAACCCACTTCAATGTGCATAACACTATTTCAGTGCCACATCACAGAAAACTCCAATATAAAAAGGTGTATCCACTTCTAAAAGCAGTGAGGATACCCTTACCAACTTCCCAATATAATGGGCTTTGTAGTCATCCAGGAAATTCACAGGCTGATCCACTCAGGAACCTCTGCTGTATCACGCAGCCACCCCACTCTCTGGATTCCTTAGACACTTTGCTCCCAGTGTCACCACAAAAAAAACACAGGACATAGTGTGATACCGCCAATAAAATAAGTAACATACACTTTATTAAAACTGCTCACATTGCCAAAGCTTTTAAACCGCATTAGAGGGAGTACAGAAGGTGTAGGAATCTCACGGCCATCCAGGGAGACACGTCCCGTTGCTCCTGCTCGATCTCTCCCTTATTAGAAATGGCCACCAGGTAACTTCCGGTTTCCGGGAAAACGTCTCGACGTCACTCCACCTTGACGCGTTTCGTCATCGACTTAGTCATAAGGGGTGTGAACGTCAAGCAACACAGTTCTATTTAATCCCCTCCTCATCATGGCGCCGGACCACTCGCCGCCATATTGGAGATGGGAGCAGTGCCAGTACTATCCGGTAACTGCTTATAAATGATCCGGCAAACATTATCTAATATACAAAACGTCCATCAACATACCATACTGCAAAACTCTACCTCATAATTTCCATTTAGCAATCTATAAATATTCAATATATAACCACATAATTATTTCATACATAAGATTACATCATTAACCCCTAAAACCACAATCAACTAGTCTCCTGAATACATGCTACACATTCTAAATGACATAATATGTATATAAATTTCCCTTTTAAAACATAGCCACAATCTAAATACATTATTAAGGTAAATTTAGGTCCTTATTATCTACCCATCTAGAATTATTTTACTCCAGCCTAATTATTAAGGAAGAACTCTACATATATAAAAGGACATACCATTAAAATTACTAAAATTAATCTCCCAATTATCATAAATAGACCATAATTCATAAATAGAATATTGCAAGCTATCCGTATGATATACATTCTACCCAACGGATACTTCCTAATTAATTATCAAAATATAGATGTGATTATTACTAATATTAATATAAATATTCATTATATTGGGAAGTTGGTAAGGGTATCCTCACTGCTTTTAGAAGTGGATACACCTTTTTATATTGGAGTTTTCTGTGATGTGGCACTGAAATAGTGTTATGCACATTGAAGTGGGTTTTCACTGATCACGTGTGGTTCACGTTTTTCACAACTTTTACTTATTTTCACTGGATGAAATATAGATAAAGTTTATTTGATAAAGGTTAATGCACTATATGAGTTTTTTCTTTTTTTTTGAGGTGGACTAATTTTGAACACCGTTGGAGTTATTGATGGGACATTTTGCGTATTTTCATAAAAATCATAGTGGACTTTATATTGGTAGTGGATTCATTTTATAATAATTGGGTATCTATATGATTATATTTGCTTTGGAACATTTGTTAATAACACTGTCATATATATAGCCTCTAGATACCACCTTCTGGACCCCAACAGATGTTCCGTCATTGTTAGGGTTATTTGTGGACTTCAAGGACTTGTGTGTCTAGGACTTATGGTTGAACTGAACACTATGCTTTGCCTCAGACTTAGAAGCTTGGGGGAAATTTAAGACATTTTTCCTAGCTTCAGGGGTAGACCGTTTCTCAGATAGAGATTTTAACCTTTGACCTTGAATAAGTCCAGCGAGCCACCAAAAAGACTTTCTCTATTAAATGGCATTTCTTGCACTGATGCTTCACAGACCAACATTTTGACCAAAGGCTCCCAAGCCTGTGTATCGAAAGGAGGCCCATTTTGGATATTTGTCATATTAGTATTCGCTAACCTGTCTACACAGTAGAGTTGGGCTACAGGTATGAGCTTCAGTTGCTTGAGAACAGAATTCATAAGGACAGATCCAGAATTGTGAGATGTAGCCTTGGGATAGACAGCTAGGCTTTGGCAGCTGGACATGGCTGCAGTGGCAGGTTACAGAGCAGGACCTGTTAGGGGAAAATAAGGCCTTATAAAGGGCTTCTAGTCGAGGGGTGCTCAACCTTTTGAAGAGCGAGGCCTACTTAAGTGATTAAGTATCTGGGTCTCACAGTTAGAACACCATGTTCCTGGCTTTTAAAGCCAAATCAGCATACAGCGGCACTCGGTAAAAAGAAAAAAAATTTAACCAAGTACAAAATTGGTACTTTTGTTGCAAAAATGTTCTCATTCCTTCTGGTGGCGTTTCCGGTTTGTAGTCTTACTGTAATAATCCTACACTACATAGACTTTTTACAGACTTTATTGGGTATATTTATAAAGCAGTGCATATTCAAGGTGCATGGGTTTTTAAATTACAGTAATTGATTCACCACCAGTGAAGGTTTGGGGAAAGTCACATTCTCTGCTTTAAACATATGCCCGTGTGTCACACTGTGGTTTCTCTATTGCAGGAAAATGCACAGGACTGCGGCAGAGGCTCCACCTTGACATCATCACTTATGCTGCTCCTCATATCTCTCACCATCTCATTGCGGTGAACTGATAACGCCTTGTCCAAAGCTCCTGGACAATCTATGGTCCCAGGTGTCCTCTATAATCCCCCCAAACTCTCGTGTCACACTTGTTAACTGCAAGGCAGAGGACAATTATCTATGCAACATAAGCGACATCCTGGGAACAGCAGGAACCACTGAAGGATCCGCATCATCTCCACCATAAAGAAACATGCGACTCTTCAGGTGAAAAATTGGGAGCTGTAGTAACTTACAGAGTTGAAACATTCATGCTTTTATTTCAGTTATTCAACAAGATATTTGATTAGGGGGAAATTCACTCACTGCAAATTTTCCTGGTACTGAATACAGAATCTTGTCCCCATTTATTCAAAGAAATCTGGAATATTTGAAGGCAACCAAGTATCCCAAGCTGTGTAGGAGCGTCAAGTCTCTAGCTGCTGAAATCTTTAGTTTTGTAACTAGAGGGATCAGCGTTGGCCTGTGTTTGCACCAAGAAAATTACAGACTTCCTGAAGGTACCAGCAGATGCAGTAAACTCCCCAACATTATTAACCGACCATGCTTGAGATCTTTAAAATGACTTTTCACAAACTCGTGTCTACAATGAGTCAATTCTTTCCACACTCTGTCTTCTCCATAGGATTGTCTCATTTCTATATTTCTATCATTTGCAAGATTTCCAGCAAATAAATTGATTCTTTTTTTTTTGTCTATTCATTTGTCTCTCTCCATAAGCATTGAATGGGGAAAAGAAGTGTAATACCATTTATATTTAAAATCCAGTATTTACATAGAAAGGTATGTATTCAACAGTTATGGAACTGTGCAGCCTACTGAACTAGATGAGCTTCCATTTAGGCTAGAAATGAACGCGTAGTAGTTTTCTGGATGAGAACAAAAGAAGTGCGATCGGCTGCACTCCAAACAATCCATTTTTTGAACCAGGACAAAACTAATACAGACAGTGGAAATACAGTGGGGGACTGGCAGGTAAACATGTTTCTCGCAAAAGACAGCACTTATTCATTACCCCAGGTCTGTATTGGTTTTATCCTGGTTCAATAAAGTGGATTGTTTGGAGTGCAGCCTATCAGACTTCCTTTGTTCTCATCTATGCAGCACATGAGCTGGGCAGGCACCTACAGGAGGAGTTGAGCTTGGAGACTGGGAGTCCCTCTACCTTGAGCAGCGGTAAACATAGAATGAACTGTGTAGTAAAAAGTAGATCACCCTACCATGGCACATTCATGTTAACACGAATAGCCCAGGGCAAAGTATGTGTTTTGCTGACTTTAAAATGTAAATGTTGATACTCTCTCTGCAGGTGACACATTTAAATATGACATTTTTGCAGACAGAGTTCAGAAAATACTAATTTTGTGTTTACAAAGTGTATCTAAAGCCCACATTGATTTAGCCTTGTATGGAGTAAGGTATGGTTAAATCCACCAGCCTACGACCCCCACATCTGTTTATTATTGGTAAGAATAGCCTTATTCTGTCCTGTAGATACAAAGGGAAGTAAAAAGAAATCTTTTCAAAACAAGAAATACCCCCTCTGACAGACAGCATTGAAACAGATTGAAATATTTCACCTCAGTTTCAGTTCTGGTGATTCATTTTGTATTTTTTCTAACCTTCAGTCCCAGTGTCAGAGGCTACGAGGACAAAAGCTCATCAGTCTACCCAAAAGTTAAAAAAAAGTTATATTGTGCCATTTAAACCTAAAAAAAACAACAATTGCACATTTTTAACAATTTGCACCTTTTGGCTCTATTTCTTACCGGAAAATGCAAATTCTGTAAGTGTCTCCATGTCAAGTTAGCTGCACAAATAGTTTGTGCTGTATTGTTTTTCTACCACTAGATATCAGCATAACACAATCTACATACCACTTGCATACTTTTTGTTCGGTTTACTGTGTTTCTACCATTAGAGGTGAGTAACTGTGTATAGGGATTTGAATAACACCCAGGAATTGGGTTTTCATTTAGAGGTCTTCTACTTTTTCTTCTGTGAACCTCACCACACATCATAAAACATACACACAGAATTTCGGAATTTTAAAAATGGCCGAGACCAATACAATGTTAAAATGCCTTTTTTTATTTACCAGAAAGTGAATATTACAGCGAGAAATGAGAATTCGACCCCAAAATCGCCTTTCACCCCCTCAGTGTGCTTTGCTGCGTCTCACAGTAAACCATAGAAACATAAAAGATTATTAACAAGGCCACATAGTACTGAGGACTGAAGCAGGGAGTGAACAGGTGACAGCCTATATTGAATGGGGGCGCATGGGGCAGATCTGGCCAATGCTCCTTCCCTCACATGAGAGCCGAGACAGGTAAGGCAACCAGGATGTAAAACTTGGCCAGCATCTCAGGGAGGTGTGAGGTGTGCTGAACAAGGCAGTATCTGCTGCAATGACACTCTTGCCACTGGAGTGCAGCAACACATTGTTCTGTGGGGGTCTTGACATATCCTAGAATTTAAGGGAAATTTCTGTATGCAGAGCATTCAAGTAGATATCATGAAATCAAAACATTAAAATGTTCCCATCAAATGACAATAAGTTATTTCTTTGTATAAAATCTCCTGCAACCTTTTTCCAAACACAACATATGACTTTTTAGTGTCTGGACTGAAAAGATATTTGATAATAAAAACAAACTGTTTTTTTTTCCCCATTGCCTTGGGCTCTCTGCCTAAAGCCGCCTTGTGTTATCTCAACAGTGGGAATAACTTCAGCTGGAAGGTACAAAGACATGGAAAAAAAGCACAAAAAAGACTAGGCAGAAAGGACAATGGGTGGGGAGATAAAGTAGCAGAACTATACAAAACAAAAATCCTTTTCATGTAACATATGTAATTATAATTACACAACACTATGTCTACTGAAACCTGCCCATTTTGCTTCAGCAAAAGTTTTCGATAGAAATAAGAATTCCAGTAATTTCCATGTGGCTTCACATGCATGAGCTGCTTGTTCAGTGTATTTTTAAAAAACTATAAGGGGCTGTTAACACTGACAAACGTGGGTTACATTTGCACAGGCTTGAATAAACCCTTAACCACAACTTTTATGGTGAACCTGAAATTCCGAAGCAGCAGACACCATTCAGTGCCTGGCTCCTTTATACTGAAATCCAAAGCTAACTGCCTTCAGCAAATGCACAGGAGCACTAAGATTTGTGTTGAGCAGAAAGGAGGAAGCAGAAATGCACATAATGGGGAACATGACTGTAATCCAAGTTTCTCACCTAGAATGGCAATCTTATTCTAAAGTTTTAATGAACTCCAGATACAAGAATTAGGACCCTAGGCAAGATGGAGTACATCGAGTGAGAGGGAAAGCAGAAGCAAGCTCTGCCTTCAGTTGGCCAGGAGATGGCATTCTGTTGTCAGTGGAATCCAAGGATGTACTGTCAGTTGAAGCCAACTTAGATACTGATGGACAGACGAAGCTCCTTACTACCTCTCTCCAACATCTCTATCAATATAAAAGTTGCCAAATAACTTGTTTCAAAGCGGAAATCCATTCATTGTCCTTAGTTGTAGAAAGGGTAAAATCCACCAGTTGTTTCCCTGCTGAAACGTCTTCTTGCTTTCTGTCCTGGTGACCGCGGTGTCTCCAAGACAGTCACATTGCTGCCTATGAGCCCCCTTGAGGACGGGGGGGGGGGGGATGGCCCCTCATTTTCATTCCTATTGATACAGAACAGAAAAATCTCCCCAGTGGAGATACAGGCACCAATATTACTGATTGAGGATCAAATCCCTTCCCCATTACCTTTAAAGGAAAAAAATACTTTAGAACAGTAAATGTATTTGACACCATTGTAAAAGTATCAGGGTCAGACACCCAGCCGACACCACACTTGTTCTAAAGAATATTATAGGAATACCTTGATCCAGGAAATTTTTGATTGCTCATGTGGTGTCAGAAAGGAAACCATTACCCTCATGCTTGTGAGGCTATAGGCATTGTATTGGTAATGGCTCATTTAAGTTATCCTTAATGCCCAAGTCAAAGGGAGCAAGTATTTAAAACTTCCAAGCTGCCATCTAAACAGTTATGCTGTAGCCAACTGCACTATAAAAATGCACACTGCAGCTGCAAAGACCCCCAACCTCTATCTCCTACAGAATCTAACCCTATGATCAATACTGATAAAATACAATGCAGAACAGGGACATGTGCACAGCAATCCAGGTGAAACGGATACCATAATCCTGAATGCTTGTAAACATCTCCCTACAATGACTAATGCAAAGAATAGTTCATCAAAATATCTGAAAAGACAAATGTCATTGTTACCCATAGCAACCACATCCTCCTTCCCTGATGCAACACAGAAAAGAAGAATCTGGTGTTATTTAAAGGGCAACAGAAACTAGTCTTAACTTCTGACATTTTAGCAAGAAGGGGCATCTTATTATATTAATTCTGCATTTAACAGACCACTTAACATTAAATTGCTAAATCTCAAAAATATGATTTATTGAGTGTTCAACATTTAAAGAGTCCCTGTCCAAACACATACGGGTTTTAATCCTGTTCTGTGCAGAACTGGTCACCCCAAGTATACCAGGAAGACTAACATTTCTGGAAGTGTTCATCTCCACTGTCCCCTGCAGCTTTCCCTGGTTTTCCCTCTGAACCCATATAACTACTCTCTCCTGCAGTGACCAGGGGTCAGCACGACAATGATTGGTAATGGAAGCAGGAACGGTAAGTATGTACAATTTATTTTACAGGTACGTGTTTGTATTAGAACATTTTTAATATGATAATCCTTGGGTATGTACGTCTGCTGGTCTCAGCACCATCCATGGCTTGCCAACTGCTGTGAACTACAGGTACCAGTCTCCTGCCGTGAGATATATATTAGTGATAGGTACTGGGCTCCCTACTATTTTTTTGTATGCAAAAGAAGAATCCTAGCTGGGAGCCTTAACTGAAATGCGGGAAAACATTTTTAAAAAAAAAAACGGTCTGCCAATTTTGCATTTTATTTATCTTTGAACACTGTATAATTTCTTTTCTGAAGTTAGTGTTCTTTATATCAGATGATAGCCCACTTTTAAATAATGAACTTAAGCCTAAAAGCTGTCTGGGTCTTAGGGACATTTATAAAAAACAAAAAAAAAAAAAAAAACAAAAACTTGTACAGGCCAAGTCTTGTTGAGGTTGCTTCAAGTAGACCTTAATAATAGTTAAAAGTCCATAGCATTGGATGTGCAGATATGAACAAAAGAGCATGCAGAGGGGAAACCGTGGATTTATACTTGGGCTTACCCCACAGCTCATTAATTTTGCCAAAGGGAGCATGCAAAAAAAAAAACAAACAAAAAAAAAAAAAATCATGGCTAAAAATCACTAATCACATTTATCACTGAACTCTTTGTCTTGAGTTATATTTGAATATGAAACTAAAAATTTATTAACATCCATGTTTTATAGAGAAGATTCAACATGACTGCTCAACACTGTGCCCTATTTGTTCCTACACATCCACTGTTTGACACATCCTGAGAGTCCATTTATCGATGGCTGTGGCTCTGCAATGGGGTCACACTCTGAGTCCCCAAAAATCAGGAGTTTTTGTCCAAGTTTTTTCTTTTATAAGCCATATTTACTTTATCAGTTTATAGAGCAAAACCCACCAACATCCCCAGTGCAGCCACAAGTTTTTTTGCTACGCATCCAATGTGTAAGATATTTTAGGAAGCCTTTTGTTTGTAGTAAATGTGGTCTCACTATGGGATCACATCCTAGGCCTCCATTAAAATGAAAACACGTAGGGTCTTCTTATGTTATCGATTCATAGAGTAAGACCCAACAAAGTCCCCCAAGACAGTAACTGTGCTTTGTCTCTGGATGGACTCACAATCCGCCAATCAGCACGCCCTGCTCCACACTTGTGCAAAACATGTCCATGAAACAGTGAACGGTACAAATAATCCTTAAAACATAACAGAAGTTTTGTAATTTTGTCCTTAAACTTGTCACATCTATTTTTGAAAAGGTCTAGAAACATTTTAATTTTTAGAGAAAATTAGAAATTTTTGTATGTTTTATTTGCACAAATCTGCCGACCATCCCCTGCAAGTCTTCCCAGAAATGATCACAGAACAGAAACACCACCATGAATACAAATCGAGAACCTTACCAGAGGTTAAAAAGAAACATAATAAAATAATTATTAAAGACCCCCACCCCATTCCAGAAGAAGTAGTTACAAAAATAAATAGATGTTTGGACATTTGACCACGAGACACACAGGTAATTCTCTCTCGGTCGGAAGCTCAAGCTGCAGAGTATAATTTAAACCGCGTCAGTGCGGAGAGACCATAACCCCCCTCCCCTTCCCCACCAAATCGGAAAGGGTAAAAGAGATGTGACCCACTCCCCAGGAATAAATTAAACTTCATACACTCGGTGCTGTATGTTTGAGGTAAGATGGTTTAGTTCCACAGTTTGTCTGGGCTTTTGTGCGTCCGCCTCCGTTTCACCTCCGCTCCTTTGCGCGGTTGGGTGAGAAACCTTTCTCCTCTTTCCCACCCCTGTGCGGTAGGTTGTTCTTGGACTGTGTTGCGTTCCCCCCTCCATAGTGGCGAGGTTCTTACAGCACCTCCTGGGCTGCGCAGCCGCCACCCACTGTGAAGCGGAATTCCTGGAGGTTGGAAACTCCGTGGAAGTGGACGAAAGCTCCGGCCACGACGAACACATGGAACAGCTGGTGGGAGTGAAACTGTGAAAAGAGAGAGGAAAATTAATGGCTAGAACAATCTTTGGTTATATAAATTAGCGGTTTAGTTTTGAAGTGTGTCTAGCAATTTTTTTTTTCAGGAAAGGCTAGGCAAAGATTTGAAGCTCTTCAGGTTTTTTTTACTGCTATCCCATGCAATGTTAAGAGAGATTCCTGTTCCAGTGATAACAGTTTCACCAGACAGGAAGTGAGGATAAATCTCCAATAGCAGCAAAAATTAGATTTAGATACTAAAAGTAGTCACAATTATCATACATATGTAAATATGGAAAATTACTTCGGGTAAAATTACAATATCTCAATCTGTAGTGACTAAAAGAGACACATTGATGGTATGCAGCTCTTACCCAGATGTCACACTTTCCAGGGAAGAATCGTTCGGGAATGCGGGCAGCATACAGTGCAGCTCCTGTGATGTACAGACACGCCATGAGAATCAACCAGCCAATCTGGCCCATGGTGGCGGCTTTCAGGAACCCCTCAGCAATGACAAAGTGCAATGTGGGGATGATCCCGCTGAGGCCCAGACCCACAAACACACCTGCAGAGGGAGACATAAGAACAGGTCATGTGACAAGCTCTCAGATGAGCAAAACAAAAAAATTCCTCAGCACTCATTCCAGTGTAAAAAATAACTAACTAAACTGGTTCTGATCTATAATGTATCGCTTCAGCTGTCAGATATGCACACGCTCAGTGACAGTTAAACAAGCCATGTCATAGTAGAGAAAAATAAGGGGGATTGAAATCCCACTGTTAAAGTGGCTCTATAGGCAAAATAAAAAACGTACATACGAGTCTGTCAGTAGCATTAACACTGCAGTTATTTTTTATCACATTACCTCTGTATTATTACGTGTTACTATTGCCAGTGGAGAAGGTTTTTTCTACTTCCTTTAATAGGGTGACAACGCTGTTTGTTCTGTAGTGAAATCACAGTAGAGCTGTAACCCCATACAGTTACCAAATATTTCTCACTATAGTTGGCCTTTAAACAAGCTATTCTATACTAGAAAAGGAAAAAAAAAAAAATATAGAGTGCAGTCACACAATGAAGGAAAAGACTGCATGTGGCCACGTCTTGGCCTGAACCTAGAGTTCAGCTTCTCTTTTCACCTTTGGACAATAAAAATGCTTTTAAAAGTGAAAACAAAAAAAGCCAATACAATTAATGTTAAAAACTGTCCCCCACCTCATAACCACACTTGCCTACTATTTGTAGTAGAGTTCTGTGTAAATACCTATTTTTTTAAAAATCGACTTCAGTGTGGTCATGTAATCTGTGGACTCCAGCTCCTGTGTGTCATTGCAGCAGATGGGCTCTGGGAATTTAGCCCCATTGTCAAGATGTGGCTCACAGATCACATGACTAAACAGAAGGGGGGGAAAAAAAAAAAAAAAAAAGAAAAAAGGTATTTACAAAAGAACTCTTTTCCAAACCATAGGTGACGTGGGTGTTGGGAATGGGAAGCTTTTACTTCCAATTTAAAAGCATTTTTATTGTCCAGGGAGGAAAAGTGGACATTATTCTGGAGTTCAGCTTGAAACAATGCCTTACTCTTGGGGTAATTATTATTTTTTTTGGGATGCAACATCATGTGGCTGGACACCATGGGGTCTTTGATTAAAAATGACAAATCCCATAATTCAATGGGAATCCACTGAAATGCTGGGTATGCACACAGGTGTCACTTAAGGCTGTTCACGGACTGTGGGCATTGGTTAGACCTGCAGGCAGGACACAACCAGGAGCAGTGTAATTATACCTGCCAGAAGGAGGCGACAGCTCTCCGGGTAAATTACAGATCGGAGGAAACACATCAGGGCAACATTATTTTTGCTGATGGACATAACAGCAGCACCTGATTGCACATACTAAAAGTAACGAGGAACTGGGAGCAGAAGGGACATCTTTGGGGGGTACAAGGTAAGGACATACACTAACATTCAGCTTTAAGATGTACCTATTACATTGTTGAAAACTAGTGTATGTACTCGGACTTGGGGTGTATGTCCCTCCGACTCAGTAATGCAGGAAGTATTTCTACATTTCCCAATTAAATTATGCATTGTACATCACAAATTATAATCAGATTTTATAGTGGTGCTGGCTCTGACATCATTACTAACAATTCTGGAATGATTTTTTTTTTTGAGTCTGGTAGAACAAGATTTACATGCTGATTATTAGCCATATGAGGAGTCAGATCCTAGCAGGAAGTATTAGATAGAAGGAAGGGTAGGAGATTACACCGCAGAGCCAAGACGATGAAAACACTCCAATATTATAAATCTCAAAAGCCGCCATCTGACCCAACAACATCTCCCAAATCTTCCCTGTCAGGCCAGTGCACTCTTCTTTGGGGATTAACTTCGGCAACTGTGACTATGGTCAGAGACACACAGCCTGAGAAGCTATTGGCACCGCTTCTTTATGCAGTGCAGGTTTATTTGTGAGTGGAGTTACAACTAATATTCCTTTAGGACTCTTGAAACAACTGCCTGGAACCATAAAAACATGGCACAGATACAGCCTAACAACAACAACTGAAATGGAAACTGTCTGATCTTAACCAGAAGTTTAACCTACTTATATATTACCTTCCCCGAAATGTATCTATACTCTAATGATAGATTTTTAAATGAAACCTTTTTACAGACCTTAATTTAGACCCAATGGTGTCATCACTGGGTCTCTGTGCATCTTTATATAATGCAGGAACATCATGACTAGTAGGAGCAGCTAGGATGTTGGGTGGATACCTGACTGCTAAGCTTTCATGATTAAAATTGAAACCTATTGAATGGAAAGGGGCAGGCTAGGGTCAGTCATGCTGGGGTGGAAAGGTGAATAAATGTCCTCCAGCCAGGACATTAAGTGGGCTCTGTGTGGCTTGCTGCAATATTCAATGCACATTGTGAGAACCCATAGTGTGCAGTGAAACCAGAGTAAGCAAATTCAGTACAAAACAGCAGCCTGTACAAATTTGCAAGACTGAATGTAAAGCTGGAGTTCAGTTTTAAAGCCCCAAAATTCACTTTTCTTTGGTTGTTGTCAAACTAGTTAGAACAAGTCATTGCTGTCTGTGTCCCCACTGGGAGGGCTTTCACTCACTTACTTTTGTGGTGACTCCCTAAATTTCAGGGAGTAACAGAATGGGCAGACAGATTCTAAATCTGCCTCATTGCTGAAAACTAGAACACTTGACTGAAGGTGGACAGAGCTCCTCAGTTTATTTGTTCTTAACCTCCCTATTGGTAGGATTATGTCAGTATTTCTGTGCTCAAAGCGGTACATTTTTTTCATGGAAATATGTTGTTTTTTTTATTGTCGGCCTGTAATTTTTTAGGAATAACTCACTGAAATCTGTCCGAACAAAAGTCTAGTAAACATTCCGGGTATGATAAAATTTGAAGCACAAAATCATAAATTATAAAATCATAAAAAATAATAATAATTTTAATTCAATAATGTAATAAAACCAAAATTTGAAATATAGCACCAAGTTCGCACATCACTGAGCAAAGTCGCAGAATCGGTTTCAGTGTCTGATGACAAATTTCCCCACGAATCATTATCACTCAATTCTGCAAGTGGTTCTAATTTACTATCGCTGTTCTCTAGCTGGTCTAAAACCAATTTTGACCTAAAAGGGACGCTTTCTGGATGCCATTGACGTTTATCAGTTTCCAGGCAGAAAGAACAGTAAAAATGCAGGCAGAGCACAGGACAAAGCACTCGGGACAAAATGTATGTGAAATGCTTTGATACAGTAATGTAATACTATCAGATTTTAGTGTATTGAGTGAATGTCACATTTTTGACTTTCCTGCAGGTTCCATCCCCCGTACGTCCCATACGTCCCAATGCTCACAGGGAACGGAACCCGGAAGACAGATGCCGGCATTGGCCGGAGGATATTGCTGGGGACGCTGCAGGGGGGACATCACGGGAGCACAGGACAAGGTAACTGCTGGAGGGATCCCTGAGCAACGCTGCTGTGTATTCCCGAGTGTAGCTCGGGGTTACCGCTTCTGGTACTGAAAGTTAACCCTAAGCTACACTCAGGAATACCGCCAAGCGGGTTAAACTGGGACCATGCACAAAATAAAGTCAGTCTGGACAGAAAAGAGCTAGATGATGCTAGATGTCCCCCAGCCAGGCAATGAGGCGGATTCTATCTGATTTGCAGCTTCTAATGCTCATTGGTGTAGTACACGGTTCATTCTGCAAGGGAATATATATATAAT